GAGCACCGAGAATCCAGCGGGGAGCTGCTCAGCTTGCGCAATAAGCTCCAGGCGGAAGAGAAGCTTACGAATGAGCTCAGGGCACAGCTGGAGAATCAAGAATCCAGCGAGGAGCTGCTTAGCTTGCGTAATAAGCTCCAGGAAGAGGAGAAGCTTACGCATGAGCTCAGGGCAAAGGTAGAGAAGCTAGAATCCAGCGAGGAGCTTCTTAGTTTTCTCCAGGAAGAGGAGAAGCTTACGCATGAGCTCAGGGCAAAGGTAGAGAACCGAGAATCCAGCGAAGAGCTTCTCAGCTTGCGCAATAAGCTCCAGGCGGAAGAGAAGCTTACGAATGAGCTCAGGGAACAACTTGAGCACCGAGAATCCAGCGGGGAGCTGCTCAGCTTGCGCAATAAGCTCCAGGCGGAAGAGAAGCTTACGAATGAGCTCAGGGCACAGCTGGAGAATCGAGAATCCAGCGAGGAGCTGCTTAGCTTGCGCAATAAGCTCCATGAGGAAGAGAAGCTTACAAACCAACTAAGAGCAGAGCTGCAGGGGTCACGACCCAGCGAGGAGCTTCTCAATTTGCGTAATAAGCTCCAGGAAGAAGAGAAGCTTACGAACCAACTAAGAGCACAGCTGGAGGAGCGAGGATCCAGCGAGGAGCTTCTCAGCTTGCGTAATAAGCTCCAGGAGGAAGAGAAACTTACGAATCAGCTCAAGGCGCAGCTAGAGAAGCGAGGGTCCAACAAGGAGCTTGTCAGCTTGCGTAATAAGCTTCAGAACGAAGAAAAGCTTACTAAGCAGCTCAGGACAATGCTAGAGAAGAGAGAATCCAGCAAGGAGTTGGTCAGTTTGCGTAATAAGCTCCAAGAGGAAGAGAAGGTTACTAAGCAGCTCAGGCTGAAGCTAGAGAAGCAACGTAAAGAACTGAGTAAGGCCAAGGCGGACCTGGAGGACTTGAAAAGCGCCGATAAGAATTTGCACAGTCTACAAACCAAACTTAAGGACGAAGAGAAGCTTACTCATCATCTTAAGGAGGAGCTGAGCTCGGCTAAGGACCAGCTCGGAGGCGATGCAAGCAGTACTACTGAACTAAGAAAACTGTACGACAACTCCAAGGAGGAGCTGATCAGTTTGACTAACAAGCTCGAGAACGAAGCGAAGCTTATGGATCAGATGAAAATGTTGCTAGACAAGCAACACAAAGATCTGGTCCAGGCCAAGGAGCAGCTCAAGAGCGCCGAGAGCTCCAAGGAGGAACTGCTGGCTCTCCAAACCAAACTTCAGCATGAACAGAAACTTACAGATCAGCTTAAGGAGGAGCTGAGCAAGGCCAAGGCCGAACTCGCAAGCAATGCAAATAGAACGACGGAACCAAATAAATTGTATCAGAGCTCCAAGCAGGAGCTGCTCAGTCTACAAACCAAACTTCATGACGAACAGAAACTTACGGATCATCTTAGGGATCAGCTTAAGGACGAACTGGATAAATTGTGTGGCAGCTCCAAGGAGGATCTGCTCAGTTTACAAACTCAGCTCCAGAACGAAGAGAAGATCAGGAATCTGCTCAAGAAGAAGCTGTTCGAGAAAGAGGAAGAGCTAAAAACAACCAAGTCCCAACTCGAAAGCAATGCAAATCGCATGGCGCAAGTAAATGGAAGCTCCAAGGAGGAGATGCTCGGCTTGCATAATAAGCTCCAGGACCAGGAGGATCTGCTCAGTTTACAAACTCAGCTCCAGAACGAAGAGAAGATCAGGAATCTGCTCAAGAAGAAGCTGTTCGAGAAAGAGGAAGAGCTAAAAACGACCAAGTCCCAACTCGAAAGCAATGCAAATCGCATGGCGCAAGTAAATGGAAGCTCCAAGGAGGAGATGCTCGGCTTGCGTAATAAGCTCCAGGACCAGGAGAATCTAAGTCATCAGCTCAATGCTGAGCTGGCCAAGCAGCAGGAGCTGCTCAGCACAGCCAATGCCCAACTCGAAAGTTACGCACAACTGGAAGTGTTGTTTGACGGCTCGAGGGATGAGGTGGCAAGGCTTCGGAATATGATTCATAAGGAACAAAAGCTTTCGGAACAGCTCAGAGCAGAGATGAAGGATCAGGCCGATGCTCACCAGAAGGAAGTGGATAGTTTGAAACTAGCAAGGGATTCCATACTGCCTGAGATCCAAGTGGTTAAGGGGCGAATGGTGAAGGCCGAGCGCGAATACCAGATCAGTCTGGCCACCCTGGAGGACCAAATCGAAACGTTGGATGAGCGCAACAAACAGGCCGAAGTTGAGTGTCTCTCTGCCAAAGAGCGGATCAAAGAACTGGAGTCAAGTTGCAAGGCCAAGGAGGATCAGCTCTTGCAAGCCGAGCTCTTGAACGATTGCCTGGCGCTCGAGATTAGCTGCCACAATGGGGAGGTGGAAAAACTAAACCAACAGCTGGCAAAGAAAGATGAAGAGATGGCTGAATTGCGCAATTGCGCTGGGCGTAACCAGAAGCTGGGGCAGCAGGATATGGACGAGTTGCAGCAACGTTTGGATAGCGAGATGGTCAAACGCCAAAAGGCCGAGGATCAGTTGGCCGCAGCCAGCGAACGGCTAACCGATCTTGTCCAGGAATTGGACGGAACACGACTCGTCCACGATGCCTGTCAATACGAACTGGAGGAGAAGACGCGCGAGATTGAAACCCTTCGTGCCGAGTCGACGGACCGCATTCGTTCCTATAAGGAGCGCCTGGAAGCCTTATCACAGCAGCTGGCCCAATGCCATGACGACCTGGCCGAGCTGAGGTCGGCCAACGAGAGCCGATCGCAGAGTCCGGAAGCGGACTCCAATCTCGGCCAGCTGCGCCAGGAGGCGGTGCGAAACAGCAAGCTTGCGCTGGACTGCCAGATCCTGCAGGCCAAGTATCGCGACGCCAAGGATGAGATCCAGCGCTGCGAGCAGAAGATCAAGGACCAGCGTCTCGAGATGGAGGGCAAGTTGGACAAGATGAAGACCAAGATGGTAAGTCGTTTTGATTCCTAAAACCGAGTGCGGCTGGTGGCATGGACATGTACTTATCCAATAATCCCAGAAACCATGCCATTTTAGCCCTGCCGTTGAATTTTTTTTTTGCCTGTGCATGTTTTTTACGTTGTTTGTTGTTTTGCTGTACTAACTTGTCCAGAATTAGAGGGTGGTGGTGGTATCCTTGTGTATGTGCTCTTGCAGGTCCTCAAAATTCACCGAAGTTTCGGTTAAAATTGATCGAGAGATGGAAACCTAGCTATAAGGTTTACTTACATACAAATATTCGATCTAGTTATGTCCTTTGTCCATAAAAATCTAGGGATTCTTTGAGTATAGACGGAACATAAGGAATATCCTATAGCAGCAGAGAGCTTAGAGAACTTGGGGAACTCGCATACCAAGTTTAATTAAAATTAAAATTAAAATTTAAATTAAAATTTTAAATAAATTTATTTAAAATTTAAAGAATTTAGGTCAGGGTATTTAATCGATCTCTTATTAAAATTTGAAATCATAATATATGGCATATCCACAATTGCTGAGTTGTAGCTTTATTTAACCGAACTGTCACATCATGGAATTAAAAAGCATATATCTTTCCTTCCTCTCTCCATTCACTCCTTCAAACAAAAAAAAACACCAATCAAACATCCTCCATTCCCCATCCCAATCCCGGAACCCCAAAAATATCCCATAAAACCCCATGCCAACCTAAAGACCCAGACAAATCTGTCGATCGATCCGAAGACTGTTGGCCGCCTCACGATGGTCTCAAGAGGCACAGATGTGACACGTGGGGCAGAAGTGGCAGCCGAAGTGGCAGCCGAAGTGGCAGGTGAAGAACAAGCGATACCAATGGCAGTACAGATATTGGCCAGGCGCATTGGCAACGAACCGGTAGAGGTCGGTAACCCTGACAACGAACCGGTGGAGGTCGCGAACCCTGACAACGAACCGGTGGTAGAGGTCCGAAACAATGAAATCGCGATCCCGCCCCGTAACGCATACCAATACCGATCCCTGTTATTGCTGGTCGGCCTGAATGCCTTACTTTTAGGTGGACTTCTTTTAACTCTGCATATGAACGAAACAGAGTTCTAGACTGACAAATGTAGATTTTGTTATTAGCTATTTACATGTTGTTATATACTTACATATGTACCTACTTTGAATATATATATCTGATAAATTTCCACAATGCCACGGCATTGCCCAAAATGTTTTTTGTTTGTTGTTTATTTGTTATCCTCGCTGTACTCACTGCTGTCTCACTTGCTCGCCCCCCGAAACCCGAACCCAAAATATACACTGCCCTAACTTGTCCACGTTCACCCACACGCCACACGCACCCGGACATTTGACACACCATCCGCAGCGCTCCTTGTACACGGCGGAGGTGACCCGCATGAAGGAGAAGCAGGAACGGGATGCGGCCAAGAGTGCGTCCGAGATGGAGGCCCTCACAGTCCAGGTAAATATGGCTATAACCCTTGGAATTCTAATGCTAATTCGGTATCTGTCTTTTTAGAACGCCAAGTACGAAGAGCTCACGCGCAAGCTGTCGAACCAGATTGTCCGGCTGAACGAGAAAATCCTGGAGCAACAGAAGCAGCATGCCATCATCAGCACCAAGTTGCGCCATCTGCAGATGCAGCCAGTGTGCGAGGCGAAGCCTACCACTGCCACAATAGCCGTTTCCTCCAGCTTTGGGTGGAGATGTTTCGATATTTTGATTCAGTATTATTGTTTCATTTATCCCTTCATTAAACAAATTTTTCTTTTTATAGATTTCTCAAATTTTTTTTTTTCCATTTCTTATTGAATGATCGGTTTTCCTTATAATGTTTCTAGGGCAATCATTTTTTGTATATTTTAATACCCACATTATTATTTTGTAATTGTTTTGTACAGATTTTAAAGGTCAAGCATTTTTCCTGTCCTACTCAGAGCATTTTCAAAACAAAGGTCGGTTTCGCCCCATCTTTCTTCCCTTTAATGTTTCCATGGGGCAATCATTTTATTGCATATTTTATTTACCACGAAATTTTCCTGCTTCCTCAATGGAAAATATTACAATTGTTTAAATCACCTTCAAAGGAATACACATAGTGGGTTTCCATTGTTTGAGGGAATTAATGGTGGCGTTATATTTAATGATCAGCACTATCCCCAGACGTTCGTGTGCGTGCTTCGAGACACGGAGTGGGCGCTAATTCCGGGCACATTGTTTTCGGTCATCAGATTGTTATTACAGTTTAATAGCTTACATGTGGTGGACCACACTCTGCCGCTGGGGGCCCCGATTTTAGGAATTCCCCCAGAACAAGAAGCACTCGCTTGTTTACACGGCGTGCCTTTCAGTGCCGCCGACTATGTTTGAACTAAAAAGAACATAAAAGTGGCTAAATTTATGAAACATTTTCTAAAAATTTCTAACTTTAATTTAAAAAAATGTAAAGTACTTTATTTAAGAATTATTAAGGAACAGGTTTCTACTTTTGAATTTTACAAACATGTGTCTATAGTTCCCTCAATGGATTGCAAACACGTTACTATAATTTACTGTAGTGGAATTCCCCCAACGTGACCTTCAAAAACCCCGATATCTATATCGATAGAAATTCCAGGACATAACGTTGTTAGAAAATCACCGTATCCTAACAGTTAACTGCATTCCCTTACGTTTTCCGGCACTTGCGTTTGCCGATAGCGATAACAGTGAAATAATAAATATTTATTTTTATTGACGCACTTACGTTTCAGGCACTTACGTTGCAAATAGCGATAACAGCGATAAGTCAGGTGAAAAAATATCACGATATAAGTATTTATTTTTATACGAAAAGTATCGATTTTGATACATTTCTCCCATCCCTAGCGTCGGCTTTTGAATATAAAATAAACGACGCGCCGAAAGTAATTGTTATTTGTTCCCCGTGCCCCGTGTTTTTTTTTTCGCGTCTAGTAGTACTTGTGCCCGTCGAACGGAAGTGTCAAACTTACCAGTGCTAGTCGCCCCAGTTGTGTAGTCAGTAGGAGCAAAGGTTTCCACACAGGACAGACGTGTTTTCTGCTCTCGCTGCCCGGCAAACAGAAACATTTATTGCATATTTTCTACACTTTTTGTTCAGTCGTGTTTTTTTTTATTTTGCTAAAGTCACGTTGTGCCATCGGTATTGCTTTCGGTTCGGTTTTCGGGGAACAGTGCAGTTTTTCGGCGGGAGTCTAGTGAACTTGCGCGACCTGCACCATGGATCTGCGCAGCTGGCGTAAGGTCCTTATCCAGTGGGTAAGTAGTAGAGATCCTGGGATCTTCGCAGGTCTTTCCGATGCCATCCACTTACGCGATTTCCCGACACAGGTCATCGAGTGTCGCTTCATTGAACACAACTTCATCACATTGGAGCAGTCTGACCTCGATGCCTTCTTCTCGATTTACGTGCAAAAGGCCCAGGTGGCGCCGGTGGAGGATGAGAACGCGCTGCCGGCCCAGCCCGGGGAGCGCCGCTCCCCCCTGCTGAACTTCCTAAGAGGTGAGTTCGGGTATTTTGCATTTCCAGCCGAAATAGTTTTGCACGTCATGTCTCCTGAAAAACAGGGTTGTCATCCTTCTCATAGGGGATTCTATTTTCCCAAAGTCATTGTTGCCCAAATGTCATGAATCTACATGCCAAGACACGTTTGATATAGGAACTTTCATATAGAAAATATGGGACATACGCACCTACCAAATTCGATGGTTAAAGAATTTCACTTTGTTAACAGAACTTTTTGAAATAGCAATATTACTCAGGGACTAAGGATCATTTTCTACCATTTCAGTCCTGCAAGGGTGTATAGGCTCTTATCTAGGCATGTATGTTAAGTTCCCCTTGAAAAGGTTTTGGATATAGAAACATTCATACAGAAAAGGCAGACCTTCTATAGACTCTACCCGAGTTGATATTTAAGTTGTAGAATGATAAATATCAGTATTATTCAAGGGCAAATGTTTATTTTATGCCATTTTAGTCAAATTTTAAATTGTGATTATAGGTTAAGGGTTATACAAGGGTTAGATATGTACATATATCAAATTCCCCCTTTTTATTTTCTTGAAAAGGTTTTGGGATTTTCAAAAGATTTTCTTTCTTCCATTTTACTTTATTGTCAATAAACTAATTGAAATAGTAGTATTATTCAAGGCTTAATGGCCATTTTATAAAATTTTAGTGAAATCTTAGATTATTATAAGACATGCAAGGGTATGTACACTTCTCAAGTCCTCTTTTAAGCTAGTTCCCTTGGCACCTTGAAAAGGTTTTGGGATTTTCCAAGGATTTTCCTTCCCTAACTTGTTGCTTAAAACTAGCCAACTAATGAGACCCATTTTTATTTCAACGCAGATCATTATCCAGAGTTCAGTGCCCACATAGATGGCCGTGGCCAACTTGTGACCTCGGACTACGCGTACGTCTACACACTGCTCCTGCATTACTCGTGCGTGAAGCAACCCAGCGTGTTCATCCACAGCATCTGCAAGAAGCTGCCGGAGCTAGTGCAGACTTGCATCGCCAACTTCTTCGGCCAGACGTTGGAGCAGCAGCTGACGCGTCAATTTCTACGCCAGTCAATGAACAATGTGGCTGTGGTTTACCGCCAGGGCGTCCAGATCAGCCCCAGTCGTCCGAGCTGCAGCACCATGAGTCCCGAGCTAACCATTGACACCACACCGGGCACATCCTCGTCCACATCCTCATCGCCTCAGCCGCCGAGCAGCACGCCACAGATCCGTCATCGCGATCGCCAGCGCCTCCAGATGTCCGCCAACGAAATGCTAGCTCCGCCCACACCCAGAACCGAGCTGCTGGAGCAGCGCACCCGGGAGCTGCGCGGTGTTCGCGCCCAGCTGGAGGTGGTGTCTTACGAGAAGACCATGCTCGAGGAGCAGCAAGCGGAGAAGGAGGACCTGATTAAATCGCTAAACAAAGGTAGGAACGCCTCATAGATCTTGTGGCTTACAGCCCTCTGATAGTAGTTAAATATGATTACATATTTGATCACTTTTCCCCATTACAGAAAACATGATGGCCAAGAGTCAACTGGCCAAGCTCAAGAACGCCGTCCAGAATGGTGAGAATGCCGACGATTCCGCGACCGACAACGTGCCAAATGAGTTCGATCATGTAGGTAGTAGACCACCAGATGGTCACAGTTACTTGGTGCCATAAACCAATAATAAAACTTTACCTCATTTCAGTTGAAGCGAAGCCTGTTGAAGGAAATCAGCCAAAAGGAGGCCATTATAGCCGAGACTAACGATAAGCTACAGGATTTGCGCGCCGAAAAATCCGAGCTGGTCGAGCAGGTAAGCTACCTGTCTGATTTTATGGGGGCATTACACAAAAGAACTAAATCCGGCGAATTTTGTGTGAATATCAGCGAAAAACTAGTCACCTTTGGGTTGGAACTGTACACACTTTTGGTATTGAGAGGGAATTTTATTTGTTAAATTAATATTTTTGAATTCATATTTAATGGTTATTAATCATGATTATTTAATTAAATTAAAGCTACTAGGTACATAATTCTAAAATTAATATTGGCGAAAAAGGGCGCTGTTTAGGAAATCTAAATACAAAGTACCTACATAATACCTACCCAAAATTCCATAAATATATATTTATATTGATACTTATTTAATTTGTTTTTCTTCTTGAATAGCTTAAAACGTCCGGGGACAAACTCCTCGCGTGCGTGGACAGAATCCGGGAGCTGGAACAGCGCCTGGAGGAATCCAGCCTGATTGTATCTTCCAGAGAAGATACAATCAGCTCCCTGGAGCGCGACAAGCAGGAGCTGGATCGTTGTCTACAGGAAGCGCGCGAGGAGTTACACAACCGACGTGAGGTTCTCAATGCGTCCTCGGACTTGCTCAACTGTTCCCTGTCCCCAAACACCACGCCCGAGAATCTGGGCAGCTCTGTGGTCGACAAGCAGCTGCGCGAGAAGGAGCACGAGAACGCCGAGCTGAGGGAAGAGCTGCAGAAGCAGAGCACTATCTTGCTGGAGCTAAGCGAGAGTGTGGCTTGCTTCGTCGAGAAGCACAGCATCGAGCCTGACCCTCTGGCAGACGAGAAGTCCCCATCAGTGTTGTCCAGCATTTCTATGATCGAGATGACATTTGCGGCGGAGCTGGCCAAGAATGCCCGACTACAGAAGCAGTGCGACAGTCAGACCGAGCATATCGCCGATCTTCACTCGAGGTTCCAGTGGTCAGTCGAATCTCTGGATAAACAGAGAGTACAGTTGGACGAGGCCAGGGCCAGGATTGATGAGCTTGAGCAGGAAGTTGCGGAAGCAAATCGTAGTCATGCCAAGCACATTCGTCAAATGCAGGAGGATCACGATCACGACACTAACGTGTACCACTTGGAGAACAAGAGGCTAATTAAACTCAACGATACGCTCAATGAGATGGTGGCCAAGGGAGACGCACATCTGGCCGAGATAAAGGAGCAGCTTGGCGAGAAAGAGCGTCAGATAGACGATTTGGGTGCTCAAATCTTGGATCTGCGCGAGCGGAATGAGTGGCTCGGAACTAAGATCACGCTGATCGATGAGGAGCGAAGCAGCGAGGCAAGCCGTTCGGAGAAGGAGCTGCGCTGTCATACGTACTTGCGTGACAAGTATAACCATTGTCGAAGCCAGCTTAAGGATAGGATCGAGGACATGGATAAGTTGTCCCGCCAACTGGATGCGTCCAACTGGGAGAACGCGTGTCAACGAGTGCTCCAGTTGCAGTCTGAATGCGAATCCCTCAAGGTGACAATGGAATCGCTAAACGTGTACATAAAGACAAGGGCGGATAAGGAGCAGCGTCTCACCAGCCAACGGGATGAGCTCAATATCCAAAACGATTTTCTGAACCAGCAGTACGGCAAGTTAAAGGAGGATTCAGACTATTTTCTGGGCCGCATCTCTAGCCTCTTAAGAGCCGACAACTCTGTGAATTCCCTGACATCCTCCATCGACTCGACAACGGACGAAATTGGCAAGCGGTTCCGTGATATTGAATCGTTGCTCGAGCAGCACATGAAATCGTTTGATGAGACTGAGGCGAGGGTGAATAGTTTGAACGATGAGTTGGCAGATCTTCAGCGACGCAATGCAGAGCTTACCAATGAGAACGAGACACTGATTGCCCAGAAGGTCCAAGAACTGGGTCAACTGGGTGAGGATATTGAAAAACGGAATGACGTGATTAAAAAACAGAATGACGAGATCGCCAGTCTTACCAAAAAGATTCCCCTGTTAGAAAAGGCTGTGAAAAAAACTCAGGACAAGCTGGCGAAGGCTCATGTGTTGGTACAAAGCTTAAGTACGGCAGCCATCAATTCTATTGCCACCATTGAGCCTCGTCTTTTGAAATTGGGTTCAATCTCTACTTGTGCGGGATGCACTGATGCAAAAGACCCCGCGCAATTCCAATCTTGGATGACCCAGTTTGTCGACATCTATGACCAAATGGATGCCAGTCGCCAGACTCTGGAAAACCGCTGCGTTGAGGCCTCGAGGAAAATGGATACGCTTAGCCAGGCCAAGAAGCGATTAGAGGAGCAGGTGCAGCAACTGCAGAATAAGTCGACTAACGATCAGATCCCTATGCTAAAGCAACTCAACGAAACCATCAACAACCTGGAGATGGTGAACGACAAGCTGACCAAGGACAACCTTAAGCTTCATGACATGAATCTAGAGTTGAGTGAGAGTCTGATGAAGTCCCACAAAGAGGTGGAACGTCGCGCGACCAAATACGTCCAGCTGGAGGCGGCGGATAGGCGGAAGTCCAGCGATCTGCACGATTGCCGGAAGAAGCAAGATGAACAGAAAGCGGAACTGAAGTCCATGCAGGAAAAAATGGCCGCGTTAAAGGAAACTTATGAAAAACAGATTGAAGAACTGAAAGCTAACTGTGATCAGCGGTCCAAGGAAGTTGAGAAAGAGGTGGATGGAAGCCAGGACTTGCAAATAAACCTAAAGGAAAGTGAGGACAAGGTATCGAAACTAGTGGAAGAGCACAAGCAACTGTTGAAGAACACGAAAGATGAGCACGAAAAGCGTTGCAAAGAGCTAGAGAAGCAGTTGGCCGAAAAGGATGAAGAGCAGTCAAAGTTGAAGGCTTTGGAAGAAGAATGTCAAAAGCGCTGCCAAGACATCGAGAAGCAGCTGTCCGAGAAGGAGTCCCAGTCCTCGGAGTTGGTCAAAGAGCACGAAGAAGAAGTTAAGACAATCAAAGCGGAGCTGGAGGAGGCTCGCTACCAGGAGAAGGAGTTGCGCCTAAAGGACAAAGAGCTGCGCGAGACCATACAGACCCACAAGCAACTATTAAGGGAAGCTACTTCCGATCTGCAGGATTCTCGCCTTCAGGAGCAGAGCATGCGCCAAACTATGGAGACCCACAAGCAACTAATGATGGAATCGGGTCCCAGCGAGGAGCTCCTCATTTTGCGTAATAAGCTGCAGGAGGAAGAAAAGCTTACGAAAGAGCTCAGAGCAAAGCTAGAGAAGCAGGGATCCAGCGAGGAGCTTCTCAGTTTGCGCAATAAGCTCCAGGAGGAAGAGAAGCGTACGAATGAGTTCAGAGCAAAGGTAGAGAAGCTAGAATCCAGCGAGGAGCTTCTCAGTTTGCGTAATAAGCTCCAGGAAGAGGAGAAGCTTACGCATGAGCTCAGGGCAAAGGTAGAGAACCGAGAATCCAGCGAAGAGCTTCTCAGCTTGCGCAATAAGCTCCAGGCGGAAGAGAAGCTTACGAATGAGCTCAGGGAACAACTTGAGCACCGAGAATCCAGCGGGGAGCTGCTCAGCTTGCGCAATAAGCTCCAGGCGGAAGAGAAGCTTACGAACGAGCTCAGGGAACAACTTGAGCACCGAGAATCCAGCGGGGAGCTGCTCAGCTTGCGCAATAAGCTCCAGGCGGAAGAGAAGCTTACGAACGAGCTCAGGGCACAGCTGGAGAATCGAGAATCCAGCGAGGAGCTACTTAGCTTGCGCAATAAGCTCCATGAGGAAGAGAAGCTTACAAACCAACTAAGAGCAGAGTTGCAGGGGTCACGACCCAGCGAGGAGCTTCTCAATTTGCGTAATAAGCTCCAGGAAGATGAGAAACTTACGAATGAGCTTAGGGCACAACTGGAGAATCGAGAATCCAGCGAGGAGCTGCTCAGCTTGCGCAATAAGCTCCAGGAGGAAGAGAAGCTTACGAACCAACTAAGAGCACAGCTGGAGGAGCGAGGATCCAGCGAGGAGCTTCTCAGCTTGCGTAATAAGCTCCAGGAGGAAGAGAAACTTACGAATCAGCTCAAGGCGCAGCTAGAGAAGCGAGGGTCCAACAAGGAGCTTGTCAGCTTGCGTAATAAGCTTCAGGACGAAGAAAAGCTTACTAAGCAGCTCAGGACAATGCTAGAGAAGAGAGAATCCAGCAAGGAGTTGGTCAGTTTGCGTAATAAGCTCCAAGAGGAAGAGAAGGTTACTAAGCAGCTCAGGCTGAAGCTAGAGAAGCAACGTAAAGAACTGAGTAAGGCCAAGGCGGACCTGGAGGACTTGAAAAGCGCCGATAAGAATTTGCACAGTCTACAAACCAAACTTAAGGACGAAGAGAAGCTTACTCATCAACTTAAGGAGGAGCTGAGCTCGGCTAAGGACCAGCTCGGAGGCGATGCAAGCAGTACTACTGAACTAAGAAAACTGTACGACAACTCCAAGGAGGAGCTGATCTGTTTGACTAACAAGCTCGAGAACGAAGTGAAGCTTATGGATCAGATGAAAATGTTGCTAGACAAGCAACACAAAGATCTGGTCCAGGCCAAGGAGCAGCTCAAGAGCGCCGAGAGCTCCAAGGAGGAACTGCTGGCTCTCCAAACCAAACTTCAGCATGAACAGAAACTTACGGATCAGCTTAAGGAGGAGCTGAGCAAGGCCAAGGCCGAACTCGCAAGCAATGCAAATAGAACGACGGAACTAAATAAATTGTATCAGAGCTCCAAGCAGGAGCTGCTCAGTCTACAAACCAAACTTCATGACGAACAGAAACTTACGGATCATCTTAGGGATCAGCTTAAGGACGAACTGGATAAATTGTGTGGCAGCTCCAAGGAGGATCTGCTCAGTTTACAAACTCAGCTCCAGAACGAAGAGAAGATCAGGAATCTGCTCAAGAAGAAGCTGTTCGAGAAAGAGGAAGAGCTAAAAACGACCAAGTCCCAACTCGAAAGCAATGCAAATCGCACGGCGCAAGTAAATGGAAGCTCCAAGGAGGAGATGCTCGGCTTGCGTAATAAGCTCCAGGACCAGGAGAATCTAAGTCATCAGCTCAATGCTGAGCTGGCCAAGCAGCAGGAGCTGCTCAGCACAGCCAATGCCCAACTCGAAAGCTACGCAGAACTGGAAGCGTTGTTTGACGGCTCGAAGGATGAGGTGGCAAGGCTTTGGAATATAATTCATAAGGAAGAAAAGCTTTCGGAACAGCTCAGAGCAGAGATGAAGGATCAGGCCGATGCTCACCAGAAGGAAGTGGATAGTTTGAAACTAGCAAGGGATTCCATACTGCCTGAGATCCAAGTGGTTAAGGGGCGAATGGTGAAGGCCGAGCGCGAGTACCAGGTCAGTCTGGCCACCCTGGAGGACCAAATCGAAACGTTGGATGAGCGCAACAAACAGGCCGAAGTTGAGTGTCTCTCTGCCAAAGAGCGGATCAAAGAACTGGAGTCAAGTTGCAAGGCCAAGGAGGATCAGCTCTTGCAAGCCGAGCTCTTGAACGATCGCCTGGCGCTCGAGATTAGCTGCCACAAAGGGGAGGTGGAAATACTAAACCAACAGCTGGCAAAGAAAGATGAAGAGATGGCTGAATTGCGCAATTTCGCTGAGCGTATCCAGAAGCTGGGGAAGCAGGATATGGACGAGTTGCAGCAACGTTTGGATAGCGAGATGGTCAAACGCCAAAAGGCCGAGGATCAGTTGGCCGCAGCCAGCGAACGGCTAACCGATCTTGTCCAGGAATTGGACGGAACACGACTCGTCCACGATGCCTGTCAATACGAACTGGAGGAGAAGACGCGCGAGATTGAAACCCTTCGTGCCGAGTCGACGGACCGCATTCGTTCCTATAAGGAGCGCCTGGAAGCCTTATCACAGCAGCTGGCCCAATGCAATGACGACCTGGCCGAGCTGAGGTCGGCCAACGAGAGCCGATCGCAGAGTCCAAAAGATCTCGGTGCCACTTACAGCAAGGCGGATGCCCCGGAAGCAGACTCCAATCTCGGCCAGCTGCGTCAGGAGGCGGTGCGAAACAGCAAGCTTGCGCTGGACTGCCAGATCCTGCAGGCCAAGTATCGCGACGCCAAGGATGAGATCCAGCGCTGCGAGCAGAAGATCAAGGACCAGCGTCTCGAGATGGAGGGCAAGTTGGACAAGATGAAGACCAAGATGGTAAGTCGTTTTGATTCCTAAAACCGAGTGCGGCTGGTGGCATGGACATGTACTTATCCAATAATCCCAGAAACCATGCCATTTTAGCCCTGCCGTTAAATTTTTTTTTTGCCTGTGCATGTTTTTTACGTTGTTTGTTGTTTTGCTGTACTAACTTGTCCAGAATTAGAGGGTGGTGGTGGTATCCTTGTGTATGTGCTCTTACAGGTCCTTAAAATTCACCGGAGTTTCGGTTAAAATTGATCGAAAGATGGAAACCTAGCTATAAGGTATACTTATGTACAAATATTCGTTCTAGTCATGTCATTTGTCCATCTTTATGCAAATTTATAAAAATCTAGGAATTCTTTGAGTATAGACGGAACATAAGGAATATCCTATAGCAGCTAGAGAGCTTAGAGAACTTTGGGAAATCGCATACCAAGTATCATATTTATTTGTCAAAGATTATAATAAATTTATAGAACTTAGGTCAGGGTATTTAATCGATTCTCGTATTAAAATTTGAAATCATAATAGATGGCATATCCACAATTGCTGAGCTGTAGCTTTATTTAACCGAACTGTCACATCATGGAATTAAAAAGCATATATCTTTCCTTCCTCTCTCCATTCACTCCTTCAAACAAAAAAAAACACCAATCAAACATCCTCCATTCCCCATCCCAATCCCGGAACCTCAAAAATATCCCATAAAACCCCATGCCAACCAAAAGACCCAGACAAATCTGTCGATCGATCCGAAGACTGTTGGCCGCCTCACGATGGTCTCAAGAGGCACAGATGCGACACGTGGGGAAGAAGTGGCAGCCGAAGTGGCAGCTGAAGAACAAGCGATACCAATGGCAGTACAGATATTGGCCAGGCGCATTGGCAACGAACCGGTAGAGGTCGCGAACCCTGACAACGAACCGGTGGAGGTCGCGAACCCTGACAACGAACCGGTGGTAGAGGTCCGAAACAATGAAATCGCGATCCCGCGCCGTAACGCATACACCCGATCCCTGTTATTGGTGGTCGGCCTGAACGCCTTACTTTTAGGTGGACTTCTTTTAACTCTGCATATGAACGACACACAGATCGATATCGTTTCTAATAGCCCAACGGAGTTCTAGACTGACAAATGTAGATTTTGTTATTAGCTATTTACATGTTGTTATATACTTATGTACCTACTTTGAATATATATATCTGATAAATTTCCACAATGCCACGGCATTGCCCAAAATGTTTTTTGTTTGTTGTTTATTTGTTATCCTCGCTGTACTCACTGCTGTCTCACTTGCTCGCCCCCCGAAACCCGAACCCAAAATATACACTGCCCTAACTTGTCCACGTTCACCCACACGCCACACGCACCCGGACATTTGACACACCATCCGCAGCGCTCCTTGTACACGGCGGAGGTGACCCGCATGAAGGAGAAGCAGGAACGGGATGCGGCCAAGAGTGCGTCCGAGATGGAGGCCCTCACAGTCCAGGTAAATATGGCTATAACCCTTGGAATTCTAATGCTAATTCTGTATCCATCTTTTTAGAATGCCAAGTACGAAGAGCATACGCGCAAGCTGTCCAATCAGATTGTCCGGCTGAACGAGAAAATCCTCGAGCAACAGAAGCAGCATGCCATCATCAGCACCAAGTTGCGCCATCTGCAGATGCAGCCAGTGTGCGAGGCGAAGCCTACCACTGCCACGATAACCGTTTCCTCCAGCTCATCGACGGCGGCCACAGAGGATTGGCAGCCCTTCAAGCGGCCCAATGCCCCGTCCTCCAATCTGGCCATGGAGGATGAGGAGGGCGAGGTGTTCAACAACACCTACCTGACGGACCTCAAACTGGGACGTGTTCCCACGGACATGACGTAAGCGATGGTCTTTGATCTCTTACCCTGAAATTAATGTATTTTTTATCGTTTATGCAGGGCTGAGGAGTTGATCTATAGGAACTCGCTGCAGCCGCCACACCTGAAGAGCACTTATGCCGCCCAGTACGATCTGGGCAGCCAGGACGAAGATCTTAAAGTAAGCGTTAGCAGTACCCCGACTTCCGGCGGCAAAGTCACCGGCAATAGTAGCACCAGCAACAGCAGCAGCAGCAGTAGCAGCAGGACCAGACACGGCTCGAGCGGCACACCCTTGCGGGCCCAGCACGCAGCCATGAAAGCAAAGTTTGCCCGCATGATGCGCCGGCAATAGAGCCATTTAACCCATTTAACCCAAGACCGAGTGAGCTTTTGTCCCAGTGAAGTGTCCGTGCCGTTTTGTCTTGAAATTGCTGTGGTTGTTTACGATCTTGTCTTGTCTGTACTACATGTCCTGTTTAATATATGAGTGTCAAGCTAACACAGTTGTTGTCCTACGCTCCATATGTTTTATATATCAATATTAATGGTTATTTGTTTTATCACCTTTTGCAGGACGGACCCCACAGTCTGGATGACAGCATGAGTGCCCTGCTGAGCTCCTCGAGCACTGGGACGCGCAAGAAGTCCATGGGCACCCACTACAAGCGGCCGGGACCGCCCACGCCGAGCAAGAACGGCGGCAGGTTGTCCTTTGGCAGCTCGGAGCCGCCGCGCGAGATCCTGCGGGAATTCGGCGACCATCACAACAACACCTCCAAGACGCCGGCGCGCTTCAAGTTCCTCACGCAGCGCTTCAGCGTTGGCAGCAGCGGTCTGCCCCGGGATGAGGTGAGTGCGGACCATGGAGTCCATGGCTGGTGTGGAGTAGATTTGTGCTTTTCAATGTTTTGGTTGTTTCGTGGATGTAGTGCTCGTGTGACACTGAACTTGCGGGGACTCATTTAGGCTATCTGATTGGTTTTTAAAATAATGGGAATATTTGTAATGGTTTATGGTAAAAAAAACAACGTTAATTAGTTTTATCTTAATTGGAAATTGTGTGGGAATGTCAAGGCAAAAACTGATAGGAAAATGCATATTTTTTTTTATAGCAATATGAATTTTGTATTACGTTTACTTGGCAAACGAATATTTGGATTTTACTAGTACTAGACCTAGACGTTGCATTTTATGTTAAATTGTTTTCTTAAAATGCCATTTTTAGACACCTTTGATTGATAAGATTGAAAAGATTGATGATGCTTCTCTCCTTAAAAAAATCGTAAAAGGTATAAAAAAAGTAGGACAATTTTTTGGGAAAATATTTATAATCATTGAAAACAAAATATTCGGGTTTTTCTTCGGCTTTTTTCTTTAAACAAGTCGTAAAAGGTATACAAAATATTTTTGTGGCAAAATATTTTTTTTTAAATGTTTATTATCAGAAACTACTTGTAATTCACCTTTTAGGGAAACCTAACTACCTCTTCCCTCAAAAAAATCGTATAAGGTATAAAAACGTAGGAATATTTGTAGGAAAACATTTAGGATCTGTTAAAAACAATAGGGGAAACTCCCATACTCCTTCCTCTAAAAAAATCGTGAACGGTTTGAAAAATGTTTTTTAAATAGAGTGTAGTGCCCCTTGGCAATGTTCAGTGTCATCGAAAATTGTCTTATACTTGAGCTGTAGCTTGGATAGTCAAAAGCCTTAGTTTGGTGCCATAGGGCATTCAGAGTGCCCTAGTGCTTTGTCCATGTGTCGTCTTCGTGCGCGTGTTGTTGTCGTCCTCGTCCTTTGTGTGGCTCCACTGCAGCCGGCAACTGACCTGGCCTCTCCCACAGCTGCCGCATCGCAAGCGGCCGAATCTTTTGACCGGAATACAGCGCCGTAGGCTGCGCCAGGCGGTGGGTTTGTTTTGTACATCAACGCCCCGCAAGAGCCGCTCCTACTACGATCAGCAGCGTCTGATCCGCGTCAGCGATGCGGACACATCGGAGGCGCAAGTCGAAGTGGAGGAGGAGGAGATGGTAATGGAGGCAGAGGAGGAACACCTAGAGGATCAGGCCGAGCAGCAGGGCACTCCGCACTTGTCCACTGCAGCACTATTGGCCCTGACCAAGGGCAACACCCGCCGCCTGACTGGCCAAATGAAGCAACGGAAGGGTCGCGTTTCCCTCTGCATACATGGCAACATTTTCGCCAAGAGCCGGACGGCGGCGGCGTTGAAGGTGTCCCATCAGGCGGTGTCCGGAAAGCGGGTGCAGCTGCGTCGAAAGTTGCGCCAGGAGCGGTTGGGCCGCTTCGATCAGGCCCGTCACCTGGACCAGGTCTCCTTCGCCAAGTCGCCCGATTCCGCCGACAACAACAACTACAGTCTGCACAATCGCAATGAGGAGCAGCAGCAGCAGCAGCAGTTCCTGATGGGCAAGACGGTGGTGCTGGGTGGCAAGAGGCCAAGGAGTCCTGTCGTATCCACCACATTTAACGTGGAGCAGCACAGCGAGACCTGGCAGCTGCAGCAGCAGTTTGAGTCGGAGAACCTGGCCACCTGGGCCATGGAGAATGACCAGAGTGCCTTGGACGAGACCCAGGAGGTCTGGCAATTCGAGCAACTGTGCCAGGAGACGGAATCCACGGCGCCCTTCCAACTGCAGCCGCTTAACTATGAGCCACTCGTTGAACCAGCGCCGGCGGAACTGAAGCTACCGCAATTGGTCAGCTCGTGCAGCAACATCACCGATGCCAGTTGCGCCACCAACATGACCAGCACCTCGTCCCGCCGATCCACCTGCACCGTCTACTCGATGGGCAGTGTGCACATGCAGCCGCTGCCGCAGATCAATATCACCTATGTCCAGCCATCGGGCTCCCAGCTAGGCAGGTCCATGCACAACCGTTCGCTGCCGGCTCAGTGCAGGCGAATCCTCTGCCGCCTGAGCCTTGGAGAGCGGGTGATCGTGGGCCTTGCCCTGCTGGCCATCGTGGGGCTGTGCTGCCTGCAGCTGGAGAACAGGACGGTGCTGGTGCTCACCGCCGTGCTGGCCGCCATGGGCCTGGTCCTCCTCACCGTTTCGTTTGCCGGTCGCCACTAGAAACGCCAAAATAAAACAAAACCATAAACCAAAGCAATGGAAATCGCACATTTCGCTTAGCCATGTGTAATGCCCATCGTTATGTGTGTACTCATCTCTTGTCCATTTACAGAACTCGCCGCCCAAGCGTCGTCTCAGCAACATGTTCAAGCGCAAGTAGCCGCCGTCGCAGTATTATCCACTCATTTCCGATCCAGATCCAGTCTCTGCTGCGTCCACCTGATTATCACAAATAATTTTCGGATACAATTGGGAAATCTTCATTTATTATTGACCTTAAGCTTTTTTTTTTTTGCCTCAGTTAAACCCTTTCTGGATATAAAAATCTATGTTTATTATATGTTTCAATGGTACCATATCAAGACGAACATAAGATGAAAAATAAAATTATATGTACATATTCAAAGACTGCGCAGTTTTCAATGCGGAAAAATGTGTTCTGCTCATTGAGCGAAAGAAATCCGGCTTTGTTGGTAGTTATCTTGGAAATGATCATTTATTCGGGGGTGGGATTGTAATTTGACTAAATTCTAGATCAACTAGTGGAACGATTGGCGCAATTCAGTTAGAAAAATCAGCTTAACCCATTTGAGAGAATTAATTTTTAAAGAAAAATAATTATTAGGAAATGTTAATATTAAAAAGTATACCGAAAGAAAAAATCACTTTATAAAAAAATATTAAGCATTAAAATATGTTAAGAATGTTTTTAAAGATCTTTAAATACCTGATCTATACTATATGTATTTGTAAAAAAAATGTATAGGGTGTTTACTAAGGAAGTTCTGGTTCACACAAACCTGACCACAACTATAAATCCCTTTATATAGGTCAGATATGTAAGAATTTCCGTAATGATGGCTCTTTATCGGAGGGAGGCCGGTACTATAACGCTTAAGAGATTGTCTTCAAGTTGGCTGTCAGTATCGGGGGGCGTGAAAACGGTCCGAAGAAAGAAGTTCGAGAAAACCTGCTCCGACCAAGGTGAGCAGGAGGCTCGCTCCACCGATCGCTTGAGAGGTCGACCGATCGACTGACTTACCCACTGACTAACCCGACTCTGATAAATCGGGGACTGTTATGATGCAATGGCAAGGCTAGCGCGAAAAACATATTTTTGTTTATCGCGATATAAAAGGCCAATTAAATGCCGGGCACAACAACAACAGCTTTGACTAATCACAGTTAAAGGCAAAACAAATATTTAGAACATTGTAAATATGAAGAATATTTACATAATAGTCAGGGATACCCAATAACAAACAATATTTGTAACTGTTAGAATGGTTGAAAACAAAAACACAAAGATGTTTAGCAATGGTTTGACGGAGTCTTATAAAGTATACTGATAATGTTGGTCAGGGAGTTAGAATAAATGTAGTCGATGGAAAAATAGTTCAGGGTCAGATACTGAAACATAAGAAAATATGAACAGTAAGATATCTTTTATATATATATTTATATAAATACCTTTTTTTCTTTCGATTATATAACAGTCATAGGTTTTGACAGGTTTATAAGGTTTTATTAAAATGCACTGCAGTATCCATAATGTGATTAAAATAAAATGACTTTCAAGGCAGATCCATAGTCCTTAAATAAAATAATCCGATTAACACTATATGTATATTCCCTTATATATATTATATAATGTTATATTTTTGATTAAAAGAAGAAAATGTAACCTTAAAATAATTGTCATTCCCCCACTTTTTGATTAAAATAACCACATTCTTGACACTAATACAATTTCAAGTCAAAATGAATCGTAACCATATCCATATTGTTCAATTTCTATTTATCAAGTCTGATTCTCATTCCTTTCAAATTGTCTTCTTTTGTTAATGTACCTTTTTAAGCTCTTGTTTCTGATTTCTTGCGACGCAGTTTGGAACTGCAACGGATTCCTGTCCGGGGATTAGCTCCAAAATTACCGGGATCCCCGCATCGCAGATCCCTAAAGTTGCATTGTCATCGTCAACAGGTGCGGTGGCCAGTTAATCTAGCTGATCTAGTTGATCGGGTTCAGATATAGATATAGCTATATTCTCTTATGCATATTCGAATATGCAAATCGGTGCGATTACATCAATGGACTTGAATAGTTCAGTGCATTCCACGTTTGTCCAGATGTGCATCTGGTAAAAGTATTTTACAGGAATATTTATCACATTTTATTATAAAGCGTTATCATTATCAGTTTTTGATAAATAAGGTAAAGTTTATTATGAACTACATTTTTGGTTTGGTTCTTTATTTTAAAGTTATGATTATATAATTTTTGTAGTATACCACTAAGATATTAAGAAGTCCACATTAATGTGTTATAACAAGATATTTCTATTATTCGAAATCAAAAAAAACCCTTTTCCTCATTTTATTATTTTTACATTGACCTTTGTTTTCCTATTCAAACACGGATGTTTATAACCAGGGTGGATGTTACAAATAAAGAGTTCAACGAAACTCACATTAATATATTATTTACACGTAAATATGTGAATAAAAGTAGCCATTATCTTTCAACTAGACTTAAGAGATTTTTTGTGCTTTCCAAGTAATATAAACATTATATATTTAACAACGATGATCCTTATTTATGATCTGCATATAAGGAAGTGTGCCCTATGTGAAAATGCCATATTAATCTCTATTTAAGGTTTAAATAAGAAAGGGAAAAGTAATATACTAAGGTAGAGAACTCATTTAAATTTGCTTATAAAATACTTTAAATGTTATATAAGTATTTGATCTTATCAGTTTTATAACAGGATCAGGATATATGTATGTATGTAGATGTTCTATTTGGATTTAAGTCTTAATCATCATCTCTTTTAGAATTATAAATAATCTTAGTGATCGTATTTAACCAAAGTTTAAGTTTGATTAAATCTCACAGGACATTTATGGAAGTTCGTAAAATAGTTGAATAATTGAAAACAGCATTTTTCTGATTGTTATAATGTCTAGCCAGATGGTTCGGATCGATGACCGCTAAGATCGCAGAACCGGGAACTATATGCCTTGGATATTGGATGGGTGGCTGGTTAGTGGGTTGATGAGTTTGCTGTTTTCAATGGGCGGGGGCGAAATCCATCCATCAGCCCTCGACCCCCCGATATGCATTAATGGTTTTGGTTGGCTGGTGCTTGGATTTGGCCCAAGACGTTATAGACAACTTTGGCGCATTTAAATGATTCGATGCGATGCGGCTGTTGTTGTTTATATCAAATCAAATCGAATCGAACTAAAATCTGGTTCCGAGTCGGGCCAGGCATTATATGAATATGATTTCGAGGCGGCGGGTATTCAAATCAGTCGGCGCCCCATAGTTGTTGTTATTTCTTTTCTTTCGATCGGCCCTCTCGGCTCGATCCGAATCCAAAGTCAGGCGCGTGCTATCCGGCCGATGTGAGTGTGTGGGCTATATACCTATACCTATACCCATAGCCAGACCCAGACCCAGACCCAGATATATATATAGAGAGCCTATATGACAGCGGCTAAGCGGGGCCCGCCAGAGGCGATAAAAGCCCCAAGATATCTCCGAAGTAGATCAGTTTAGTTCAGAATTCGCAATAGTCCCAAGCCAGACACATTCAAACGGTTCCATTTTGAAGAACCCCCCCCTCGAAGACCCTCCATCGCAGAACCTCCATCGAAGAACCTCTATCCGCGACAGAGATCCTAATGCTCGTCTGGAACGATAAACAGGATACCAACTTTACATTCATTTGAGCAGAGTGCTCCAATTGCCAGGAGTCGGACCGGAGACACCGTTGAATTTGGAATTTTTGTTTGATTTTTTTTTTGGGTTTTTTGGTACTTGTTTTTTTTTGGAAGGGCCGGTGATAATGCCCAGCAGTGTTGCCAACGAGAGTCAGTTCCGATTCCAGAGCAGTCGCAGTCGGGCCAGCTGTCCGAGCCGGAGTCCCAGTGACTCCCCGGACTCCCCGGAGGCGGTCGCGGTTACTCCCAACTGCGATGTGGTGGACCAGGCGCTGGCAGAGCTCCAGCTGCAATCGCAGGAGATCCGCCAGCAGGACCTAAAGGCGTCCACGAGTGGCAGCAGCAGCAGTGGACGCTCCGGATGGAAGATCAAGGGCTCCAAGTTGTCCCTGAACACGCACAATCGCATCCGGAACATTGTCGAGTCGCTGAAGATCAAGCCGAATCCGGAGAAGCCCATGATACCGCTGTCCATTGGTGAGTAAAATGGTCTTTTCTTGAGATCCCTAATTTTCAAGGAGGCATCTTTGCCATTATTAAGCTAAGACTATTTAAAAATATCAATTAACAACCAAGCCGGTTGGAATTTGTATTGATGGAACCATATCATATGGTATAGTACATAAAATTACCATTATTTCTTTTTAAAAGCTAGAATTTTATGGACTTTAGTTGGTATTGTGTAATATTTATCACTTCACCAAGATTAGACAAGGTTGCCTTACAAATATCCTTGTATACAGTTCGTTGGTAAAGATAGGCTTCTTTATCGCCCAAAAAGAAGTATTTTTTTAGAATTTCGACTTAGCTATACTATAATTGCAAGAAAAAAGATCCTTTTTGGGGACTTCATAGTTCAGCTAAACCAAAAATACTTTTGTTTATTCCTCCCAAAACTTTTTAAGTATTTCGGCTAATATGTGCTATACTCCATATATATTTTCTCAGAATTTTATATAGATCGTACCGCATCAACTATCACTAATTTACACATTCTGCATTATGCATCGAATTCTGAGAAAAGCTATTGTTGAGGGGCAATGGGTTTCATATTTGATAATAAATTATATCTAAAATTCTCAGAAAAACAAACTTTTAGGTGCTATAGGTAAATTATACCTGAACTAACAGAATAATACTTTCAGTAGCTAGTGCGAACTATCCAGTTTCGTGGGGAACCTGCTCCTCATTTTACCATATCCCCATAACATCTCTGACGTTTGGGCTACAAGTTGTCGGACTCATTTGAATATTTTGGATGTGTGATCTCGTTTGCTTTTGCCGAATTTTTATTTTTCATTTTTGGCAGCTGACTCGGCAGAAACTTATAAACTAGTTTGGCACAAAAATGAACGCCGAAATGAATGCGGTGCCATTGTAGAGTATAATGATGCATATGTTGTACACACCCACAAAATCCAGCCAATCAGAGATCGGTGCACGATGATTATACATATAGCACGAAATATCCTCGTATTCCTCTATAGGAATTCGGGTTTTAAGTCTTAGGAAATTTACGAAATGCATAATATCATTTCGTCAGCCGGCGAGAGTTTCTAAATTCTTGCTAAATTATGCCAAATACCAGATATATAAAGTCTGTAAAGCTGTTGTTGTTTCGATTGTTGTTCTTGTTTTTTTTTATTTTTAGTAATATCATATTATTTTTGTAGCCAGGCACGCGCACTGTATTTGTGTTTTGAGGGATATTTGCATAAAATGTAGTTCCACCTGTTTGGCGGAGTCGAGAATCGAACTCGGGATCCGAGCCAGAAAATTCTGCCGCTTGTTTATCCATCGGAATCGGGAATCGAAGCTAGGCGGAAACGAACGAGTTAGCCATTGACCCAATGCAATCTGTGAATAGAGTGCGGAGTCACATTCTTTTTACTTTTAACACCATTGACAAAACATAAAATATCTTAACCCTAGGGATAATCATGAGATATAAGTAAAAAAAAATGTATAATACATTTTTTAGTATTTATTTAGTATTTTAGTATTTTTTCTAGAGTTTTAGATATTATTAAAATGTTTATAATCCTCTATCCTTTCCTATCCCAGGTGATCCCACAACCTTTGGCAACCTGAAGGCCGCCGATGAGACGATGAAGGCGGTGTTGCATTCGCTGGAGAGCGGCAAGTACAATGGATATGCCCACACCCAGGGTCACGAGGTCGCCCGCAAGGCGGTGGCCAAGTACAGTGCCCACCAGCGCCCCGACGAGGACATAGATCCCAACGACGTGCTGCTCTGCAGCGGCTGCTCCTCGGCCCTGGAGTACTGCATCCTGGCGTTGGCCGATCGCGGCCAGAATATCCTGGTGCCGCGACCCGGTTTCTGTCTGTACCACACCCTGGCCGAGGGTCTGGACATCGAGGTGCGCTACTACGACCTCCTGCCCGACCAGCAGTGGCGCGCCGATCTCGTCCAGCTGGAGAGCCTGATCGACGAGAACACCGCCGCCCTGTTGGTCAACAATCCGAGCAATCCCTGCGGCAGCGTCTTCGATGAGAACCACCTGCGCCAGCTGATCGCCATCTGCGAACGCCACTATCTGCCCATCATCGCCGATGAGGTGAGTGACCGAATGGGAAGCCATAAAAAATGCCAGGCACTATCTAGCCACAGGTTGTTGGCCTTAAGTTTAGGATAAATAAAATAGCAATGGGTTTTTAGATTTAAATACTATATTAAAAAAAAATATTTTCAATATTCCTATTTAAATACTATTTACAAATTATTTTAAAGGCCTAACAAGAAATATCAGAAGCCCATCTCATATATATCAATAAGTTTTTGTTTTTTAATACTATCCAATATTTTTCAGTTCTAACAAGAAATATCAAAAGTCTACATAATATTGAACATTTTCCAAAGAATTTAAAAAGATCTACCGATTTTATTGTTTTCGAGTTAATAATGTTATAATCCCTTCGTAGATCTACGAGCACTTTGTGTTCCCCGGCTCCAAACACTTGGCTGTGAGCAGCCTGACCACTGAGGTTCCAGTTTTTTCCTGTGGTGGATTGACCAAGCGCTTCCTGGTTCCCGGATGGCGAATGGGTTGGATCATCGTGCACGATCGCAAGCAGCGTCTGGGCGATGCCGTCAGAGGTCTGAAGAACATGTGTGGTCGCATCTTGGGCTCAAATACCATCATTCAGGGTGCTTTGCCAGAAATCCTGACCAAAACACCACAGTCTTATTTTGACGGCGTAATTGATGTACTTCACGTAAGTCGATTTAAATCATTCATAAAGTCTTGCAATTTCTACACATTTTTTAAGATTAATTTTGAATATCTTTATATAACTGTTGCTAAAATGATGGTAGTAAAAACAGTTTTTGTAAATCAAAAGTAGTTTTATTTAAATAATCTTTTTAAAGGGAATCCTTTCAACAATGTACCTATATAACAGCCAAAAATGTTATTTTATAAATAACAAAATTTTATTTTAAGTTGAAGCCGTTTTTTAAGCTTGTTTTTAATATTTTTTTTTTTTTTATTTTAATGATTCTATGTGTAAATGTGTAAAATATGATTTCGTTAGATATTTCAAAAATTTTATATTCTTCAGCTGTGTTAACCTAAACATCCCCACTTTTCTTTCCCACAGTCGAATGCCACACTGGCCTACAAGATCCTGAAGCAGGTGCGCGGCCTTAACCCCGTGATGCCCAATGGAGCCATGTACATGATGATCGGCGTGAGCATCGAGCGCTTCCCGGCCTTCAAGGACGACACCCACTTTGTCCAGGAGCTGGTCAACGAGCAAAGCGTCTTCTGTCTGCCGGGCAGCTGCTTTGAGTACCCGGGATACGTGAGGATCGTGCTCACGGTGCCCGGGGCGATGATCGAGGAGGCCTGCTCCAGGATTGCCGAGTTCTGTGAACGCCACTTCAAGAAGGACACGCGCGCCTTCATCGAGCACCGACTGCTGGACGAGGATCTCGCCTTTTGAGCTGGGAGCAAAACATTTATTAGACATTCTAGACTACAATTTTTATCAAGTGTACATAAGTATGCATATATGTATGCATGTATGTATATAATATATATATATCAATCATTAACTATCCAATATAAGGAGTATTGTCTCAAAAAATTGCTGGAAAAGTGAAGCGCGTCCCGCCTTCCAGAGCGAGCAAGTGAGTACACACACAGATAGACAGAAAGAGAGAGGGCAAGTTAACTGCGGTTAAGTAAATGGTCGTTATCGAGGAGGTCTGAATATAAATATATATAATATAAATATATATGGGCCTATATTTGAGCTATCTGGCGCTGTAGGCTGGCTGGGGTTCTGTGCAGGGTGTTAAATTTGGAAAAAATACCGCTCCTCAGGAGCTTAATGATATGATGTTTTCGAGATAAGGGCAGGTAATTGTTATTCAATAATAAACTAAAAAATTCGATGTGAAGTGCTAAAGTTATGGGTGGAAGATCTTTAATAATTCTATAACTGATTTGTGCTGTTCTAGGTTGATCATATTGCTTTTGAGTCGTTGTAATATGAAAAAGTGTTGGTAAACGTAGTTTTATGTTCAATTAAGTGCTGTTAAGTGTTATTTAATGGTCCCTACAGTTCAGCATTCTCCAATGTTGATGCTTAAAAATATTCAATCCTAGCTAAGGGCTCTTCAAACTCCTGAAACTGTGTGTGAATGTGATTTGCTAATTTTGTTTCTGATTTGTTGGCTGAATCCTATTGATTGTGTTGTGTGATTCTTTTATGGGGACCTGAGCACTAGAACCCAATCCCGCCTACAGACTAACGGGGAGAGGGGCAGCCTTTTGCCTCTACATGTGGTGAGGATGCATTTTTCTATCCATTTCGGTCTCCACGCGGGCCTCATCGATTCCCGCGACTGTGGGCAGGCCGCCTGGCCAGTGGAGCAACTCCTGCTCGTGCTCCATTATCATGTTGGCCTCCGCTGTAATGGAATGGAATCGATAAAATATAGTTGAGGAAGCTGATTTACTATGGTTCGTCAAAAATTGGTTAATTATATTTGTAACTGATGGAACTCATATTAAACTGATCGTAGGGGAGTAATATCTTATTAGATATAATCTTTTCAATTTCTACTTATTTATTGTTATTCTATGTAAAACTGATTTACAGATTAGTATAATGTTACCCATTAAGGGATTCTGTTTGGATGTTAAACCAATTTAAATATATTAAAAGTGATTTAAGCCCTCTATTGTTGACTGTAGGGATATCTTTTAAGCTATTATAAAAACGCATTATTTTATAAGTGATTTCAAAACCCTATTGATTTCTGTTGTGATTTCTTGTTGATTACCTAATTATCACCTAGTAATACCTTTAGTGTGTTATAAAGTGATTTTATATTAAGATATATGATGGAACCTATTAACAGATTCAGTTCCAATGATGAAAGGAAGATTTCTGGAGTGTTTTCTTTTTAATATGTGCGTTTTTAAGGCATTATCTTCAGATTTAATTTAGACCCACCTTGGATGCGGTGCAGCTTGCTGCCGTAGGCCCAGTCCGTATAGTATCCCATCACGAAGGTGAGCGGCAGGAGCGGAGCCAGCGCGGACACCCTCTTGACCCGCTGGTAGTAGCTGGCGCAGCCGTACAGGGCACTCACGTAGAATCCACTCAGCCAGTAGAAGAGCTCCCGGTGCTGGGCAATGGCCAGGGCCTGTTCCCGCTGCTTGATCTGGTAGTGCATCTGGATCCAGCGCTCCATCTGCGAGTGGTCGGTTCGGTTTCCCAGGGAAGATTATATAAAGCACGGGGCGAAGGACTCACCTTGAGCTCCTGGCACTTGCGGTAGCTCGGATCATCGTGCTCCGGATAGCCACTGCCGGAGGTCTTGCACGAGGCCGTGGCACCCATTTTCGATGCGATTACTGCTCGGAATTGTTGGAATCTCCTGGTCCACTGGTCGGCCACTCCGGAGTTGCGGAGTTGCCACCCCGGCGAAAGGCCCCCATCGACCCGTATCACTGCGCAGGCGTCGTATCATTTTGGGGGTTGGATGGTCCAGAGACCTGAAACCAGAGACCCAAAGAGCCAGCCTTAAATGACGGCCCCGAGGAACTGTCACTTTAGTTGGCTGACTGGAGCACTGCCTGACTAACAGACTGAGTGGCCGTAACTCCCAGTCCTCGCGCGTCCGTAAGAGGAAGAAAACCCCCATTTACGAAGACCTCGGCGCGTGTTTGGTATCAAAAAAAAAAGAAAAAGGAAAAAAAAGAAGAAATAGGGTTTTCTATCTGAAAAACCGGAAAGTGCGGCTACCAAAGGCCACAATATGAGTGCTTCAGCAATCCATTGATGTGCCCACTGTGATAGAAATCGCGCGAACTCCGCTCTCCTCCGCCACCAAAATTAAAAACCACCTACCGCACCACCAGGCGAAAAGTGAGTAGACGTCCATGATGAGTAAGGCTAAAAAGCCGAGAAGTGCAGGGAAAAATTCCTTCACATGAAGCGAGGTGATTGCCATTGAGATTTGGATAGGAATTGGGACTTTGGATACGGCTGCGTTGGTAATGACAATGGATTTGCGATTGGGGATGGGATGGGATGGGATGGTATGAATAGAATGCCATGTATATAGTACATATATGTACGCATATACGGCGAGAAGTGGTTGCTCTCGGGGGTTGCAAGTGCCAGTCTTTGATCCACACAGAAATAAATGTTGATGCCTTTGAAGATTCATTCAAGACGTTACAGTAGAACATTCCATCAGTATTGATTCCTATAATGAAGTTTAAAAAGATACAGTTCCTTCAACTAATTTTATCTGCTAGATCTAGGACCAACTTTTTGCCATTCATGAGTAGGGATTAAAAACCCTATAAAATAGGCTATATTATCTTATAAATATCAACCTTGTTAGAATATGATATCAACTGTATTATGATATTAAAGTTTAGAGCAATAGAATGTTTTAGGTACCTATTAGGAATTTCGTATTATCTAATATTTTCTCACAGTGCATTCAGGGAATGTGTGAGTGGGCTTGAGTGGTGCACCTTCAGCCCACCTTGGCAGCTGTTCGAATGTAAATATTGACACAGGTCTTCGCTCTAATTGCCGCCTATATATATGTAGTTGGATGAGGTGATCCATAAAATATGGGAGTGCAAATTAATCGCTCATAATGGTCGATGTTTGGATATCAAGCGTACTGGGCACAAGTAAAAAATTCGGGAATTCCATGGTTCTGATTAAATATAATTTTCAAATGTATGTTATTCATAAAATCGTAGCCTTTTCGAATCTTTTAATAATCTATATTGGTAAGCTAAGCTCCAAGATTAGATAGGATATTAAATATGAAATTTCTATTATTATTTCTAATTAACACACTCTTAAAAATGTAATATTTTGTATATAGATTTCTAACCATTTGGTAAAAGCCCAATTAATTTTAAATATGGAAAATAAGAAGTGGAGTTATTTAAATGACTCTAAATTTTAAATAAAAACATAAAATTCTTTTTATTTAATTTTAATATGATCAAAGTAAATAACTTGATTTTATTATTTTCAAATTCAATCATGGAATTTGATATGTTTAAAAAATGAAATACAACATTTGGAATTACATTTCCTTTTTTTTTATCATTGTATGTACTAATTTGGTGTATCCTAATTTATTTATCCTCTTTTCCACAGCGAACATAAACTACCGACCGTTCCCGGGTCAGGATGCGCCGCTTGAATGATTGACCGTCTACAGATTCGTCGCTTGGGTGCAGCTGCTAGAAACAAACGCGCAGGAGGCGGAGGTGGCGCAGGAGGAGCGGGAGGAGCAGGAGCAGGAGGAGCGGGAGGAGGAGGAGCGGGAGCGGGAGCAGGAGCGGGAGGAGGAGGAGGAGGAGGAGCAGCGGGTTCGGGAGCGTCAACTGGATCGGTAGCGACCCCAGCCAGCGGCACGGGCGGCCACCACCAGCAGCACCACCACCATTCGCTTCCGTACTCCACAAGCGGCATCAACACGCCGGCGACGGCCAGCACCAGTTCCTCCAGCGGCAACAGCTTGACGCCGCAACAGCAACAGCAGCAGCAGCACCACCACCAGCCCCACCACGGGCACCACTTTGGCCACCACCAGCATTCGCTCCACCATCCGCCGCACCATCATCCGCACCCGCATCCCCATCCCCACTCCCACTCCAATCCCCACCAGCATCCGCATCCCCATCTGCGCCACTCGCAGCCCGCGTCCGCCAGCCAGTTCAGCTTCAATCCATCGCCGGGCAGCAGTCCTGGCAACGGACTGGGTCTGGGCGCTCGCCAGGATGCGGCCAGTGCGCTTAATAGCCCGACGACCATTGTGAACTCCGGCAGCGGCAGCGGCGGTGGCAGCAGCGTCGCCTTCGGGATGCAGCCGCAGCAGCAGCAGCAGCAGTCCCTGGCCGGCGGAGGAGGCGGTGGCTCCTCGACCACGGCAGCCCCATCCTCGGGCGCTGGTCACAATAATGGAGCCGGAGCCGGAACCGGACTGGGATCAGCAGTTGGCGGCGGCGGTGGAGGTGGAGGTGGTGGTCTCAATCTGCTTGGCGGACTGGGCGGCATCGGTGGCATGGGTGGCGGAGCAGCTGCCGCCGGAATGGGCATCTGCGGAGGGATCAGCAGCACCGTGGGCAGTGCCGCTATCACCGGAGTACCGCCCATTGGACTGGGCATCGCAACCGGCATTGGCAACAAGATCATGCTTGGCCGGAAACAGAGCCTCAAGGGCGGCGAACCCTTCCTGGCGGACTATGGGCCAGAGGAGTCGCTCAACGAGAGCGCCGACATCGAGTGGGTGAACAAGCTGTGGGTGCGCCGCCTGATGCGCCTCTGTGCCCTCGTCTCGCTGACCTCCGTATCGCTGAACACGCCCAAGACCTTCGAGCGGTATCCCTCGCTGCAGTTCATCACCTTCGCCTCGGACACGGCCGTCACGCTGCTCTTCACCGCCGAGATGATCGCCAAGATGCATATCCGTGGAGTGCTGCATGTGAGTACGGTGCACTCAGGGAAAAATCTATAATTGTTAATACTAAATTCATTTTGATGCAAAAAAGGGCAGGGTTCAGATACCACTGCTGCCCAATAAACTTTTTTTTAAATGTATTATTATAAAATCAAAAATCATCATAAATTACTAGCTTGAAATAAATCAATACTCCAGGGTTCAATTACCACTAATGCACAGTAAACTTTTTTGAATAATTGTTTATAATATTTATCAATATATTCAACCCTTTTTGCTTCCATTATATGAAATGGATTAAATCAAGTAGTATGTGATAATATATAAGGTCAGGGTTCAAGTACCAGTGCTGCCCAAAAACTTGTTTTATAATTTTAAAAATCAGAAATCATCATGCAAAATATTTTAGAAACATTTCACATAGTTTAAATATTATAAAAAATCATTCCTTAAAATCGAATCGACGAAAGTCTTGATGTATTATCTATATTTTGATCGTTTCCAGGGTGAGGTGCCTTATCTGAAAGATCACTGGTGCCAGTTTGATGCTTCAATGGTTAGTTTTTTGTGGATCTCGATCATTCTGCAAATCTTTGAGGTGCTCGAGATAGTTCCCAAGTGAGTATTCTTCCACAATTAATATCGAATCAGTTATATATCTAAGAATTCTTCCATACTAGGTTTTCCTACTTGTCTATTATGAGAGCTCCTCGACCGTTGATCATGATTCGCTTCCTACGAGTCTTCCTTAAATTTAGTATGCCAAAAAGTCGGATCAACCAAATCTTCAAGTGAGTATCTGGGCGATTTTTTTCCAGCGCTTTTATAATAAAAAAAATTCCCTTCGCAGACGTTCGAGCCAGCAAATCTACAATGTGACATTGTTCTTCCTTTTCTTCATGTCCCTGTACGGATTACTTGGGGTTCAGTTCTTTGGCGAACTGAAAAACCACTGTGTGATGAATAACACGGAATACGATCATCTACAAAGACCGTGAGTAAATAAATTATTATGAATTTCAATTGAAGAAGGTTAAGAACTTGAAAAATATCAAATATATCTAGTGTTCTGACGATCAACTCGCTGGCCATTCCGGACACCTTTTGCTCGATGGATCCCGACTCCGGCTATCAGTGTTCGCCGGGAATGGTCTGCATGAAGATGGACTTCCTCAGCAGCTATGTGATCGGGTTTAATGGGTTCGAGGACATCGCGACGAGCATCTTCACAGTTTATCAGGCAGCCTCGCAAGAGGGTTGGGTGTTCATCATGTACAGGGCTATTGATTCTCTGCCGGCCTGGCGAGCCGCCTTCTACTTCAGCACGATGATCTTCTTCCTGGCGTGGCTGGTGAAGAACGTTTTCATAGCGGTGATCACGGAGACCTTCAACGAGATCCGTGTGCAGTTCCAACAGATGTGGGGTGCGCGTGGGCACATCCAGAAGACCGCAGCCTCGCAAATCCTCAGTGGCAACGATTCCGGCTGGCGTTTGGTGACCATCGATGATAATAAGCACGGCGGTTTGGCGCCGGAAACATGTCATGCCATCCTGCGATCCCCGTACTTCCGCATGCTGGTGATGAGCGTGATCCTGGCCAATGGCATAGTGACTGCCACGATGACCTTCAAGCACGATGGTCGACCGAGAGATGTGTTCTACGAGCGGTACTACTACATCGAGCTGGTCTTCACCTGCCTGCTCGACCTGGAAACGCTCTTCAAGATCTATTGTCTGGGCTGGCGGGGCTACTACAAGCACTCCATACACAAATTCGAACTACTTTTGGCCGCCGGAACCACCCTGCACATCGTACCGATGTTCTATCCCTCGGGATTGACCTACTTCCAGGTGCTGCGGGTGGTGCGACTGATCAAGGCCTCGCCGATGCTGGAGGGATTCGTCTATAAGATCTTCGGACCGGGAAAGAAACTCGGATCACTGATCATCTTCACCATGTGCCTGCTGATCATCAGCTCGAGCATCTCGATGCAGCTCTTCTGCTTCCTGTGCGACTTCACCAAGTTCGAGTCCTTCCCGGAGGCCTTCATGAGCATGTTCCAGATCCTCACGCAGGAGGCCTGGGTGGAGGTCATGGACGAGACGATGATCCGGACCAGCAAAACCCTCACACCGCTGGTGGCCGTCTATTTTATACTGTACCATCTGTTTGTCACCCTCATCGTGCTCAGTCTGTTCGTGGCGGTGATCTTGGATAATTTGGAACTGGACGAGGACATCAAGAAGCTGAAGCAGCTCAAGTTCCGCGAACAGAGCGCCGAGATCAAGGAGACACTGCCATTTCGCCTTCGCATCTTCGAGAAGTTCCCCGATTCGCCGCAGATGACCATCCTGCACCGCATCCCCAACGACTTTATGCTGCCCAAGGTGCGCGAGAGCTTCATGAAGCACTTCGTCATCGAGCTGGAGACGGAGGACTCGCTGGTCGAGAACTGCAAGCGACCCATGTCCGAGTGCTGGGAGTCCAACGTGGTCTTCCGTAAGCAGAAGCCCGTAAGGATCATGAACAAGACGGCCAAGGTCCGCGCAGCCGGCAGTAGTCTTCGGAAGTTGGCCATCACGCACATCATCAAGTGAGTTAAACTGTTAAAATCAGTATTTTGGCCCTTTGAGCCCTTTTTTCGCCATAAAAATTCAGTTTTTTGGTGGCCATAAAAAAAAAATATAAATCAGAATGAGGAATGTCATACCTCGTTGAGTTCGTTGTTTAATTTCCAATCGATTGGCATTCTAAGCTGAATTTTTTTATTTTTGCCATTTTTTGCAAAAATAGATGATGTAACCCCTTACAAAAAATGAAAAAATTGGTCAAGAAATAAATTTTCCTAAAAATGATGAGGATCGTTAGCATATTAAACAAGCTGCTCAAAACAGTCGGTCTTTTAGCTGTACGCCTTGATTTGTCTGAACTATGATGGAAAAACCCAAAAAAAATGTAGCATTTTTGATAAAAATCGGAATCTCGTTGGAGCTCGTTGTTTAATTCCTTAAAACCTATCTTAAAAACCTGGACATATTTAATTTTTGCCATTTATCGCAAAAAAACATTATTTTTAATTTTGAAATATTTTTCCCAAAATAATGCATTGAGTATTTATAAGAGGAGCTAGATTAATGCCTGCGATTTGCTAAATCCCCCTTAGTGACAGCAACAACCAGCGCCTGATGCTGGGCGACTCCGCGATGCTGCCCGTGGTGGGGACGAAGGGCGGCGGTGGGCTGAAGTCGCAGGGCACCATCACCCACTCGAAGCCGTGGCGCGTGGACCAGAAGAAGTGAGTAGCTGGGCCCTGCCCCACCGAGGCGGCGCGACCCGTTTGATGTGTGTCCACTACCAATCCGCAGGTTCGGCTCCCGCTCCATCCGTCGCAGCGTGCGCTCCGGTTCCATCAAGCTGAAGCAGACGTACGAGCACCTGATGGAGAACGGCGACATAGCGGCGGCTCCAAGGGCGAACTCCGGACGGGCCCGACCCCACGATCTGGACATCAAGCTGCTGCAGGCGAAGCGCCAGCAGGCGGAGATGCGACGCAACCAGCGGGAGGAGGATCTGCGCGAGAATCATCCGTTCTTCGACACGCCGCTCTTTCTGGTGCCGCGCGAGAGTCGCTTCCGGAAGATTTGCCAGAAGATCGTGCATGCGCGCTACGATGCCCGTCTCAAGGACCCGCTGACCGGCAAGGAGCGCAAGGTCCAGTACAAGAGCCTGCAGTAAGTGGAGTCTCCGGTGTCCAAGGGAGTATTAGATCTTGAACATTTTCCATTTACCCGACTTTTCGGAGGGTTTTTTAAACCTTTTGCTTATTAGATACCATTTTTTGGTAACATTAAATAATAAAATGATATAATAATAGTTAGAATAAGCCAATAACTCTATAATACTAAAATCTCCCACTTCAACAATAGGAATCGAACCTTGGTCTCTTAAAACGCAGTCCTGATTTCAGACAGAATATTTATATATTTTTGGTCATTACTCCTCATTATCCGATAAAGGATAGTGTACCTTGTAGTATAGATGGGTGTCCAAACATTTTAGTAACCATCATTTGTGAAATTTTTTTTATCACAAAAAATTATAACATATGTAAATAATATAATTATAATCCCGATAAGTTAATAACACAGTAATATCAGTATAATAAGGTTCCACAACAGTGGGTATTGAACCTGGTCCTCCTTAAACCGAGTCCAAACGTTTTTTTACATAGCCCCTCTTAAATAGTGTAAAAACCCTATAAAGAATGTTTTTACCCCATTGGGGAATACAGAGCAGTACACATTACCTAGGCATTACGAATATCCCTAAATTTAATCGAAACACCCCTTTGAATCCATTGCAGCAACTTTCTCGGGCTGGTCACATATCTGGACTGGGTAATGATCTTCGCAACCACGCTCTCGTGCATCTCGATGATGTTCGAGACACCCAATTACCGGGTGATGGATCATCCGACGCTGCAGATCGCCGAGTATGGGTTCGTTATTTTCATGAGCCTTGAGCTGGCGCTGAAGATCCTGGCCGATGGCCTGTTCTTCACGCCGAAGGCTTACATCAAGGACGTGGCCGCCGCCCTGGATGTGTTCATCTATGTGGTGTCCACCTCGTTCTTGTGCTGGATGCCCCTGAATATACCAACCAACTCGGCGGCCCAGCTCCTGATGATCCTGCGATGCGTGCGTCCGCTGCGAATCTTCACCCTGGTGCCGCACATGCGGAAGGTGGTCTACGAGTTGTGCCGGGGCTTCAAGGAGATCCTGCTCGTATCCACGCTGCTCATCCTCCTGATGTTCATCTTCGCCAGCTACGGTGTTCAGTTGTACGGTGGTCGTTTGGCCCGTTGCAATGATCCGACAATCTCGAGAAGGGAGGACTGCGTCGGTGTGTTTATGAGGCGGGTCTTCGTGACGAAAATGAAGCTTACCCCGGGTCCCGATGAGTCCTATCCGGCGATGCTGGTGCCACGGGTGTGGGCCAATCCGCGGCGATTCAACTTCGATAATATTGGGGACGCCATGCTGACGCTCTTCGAGGTGCTGTCCTTCAAGGGATGGCTGGATGTGCGCGATGTCCTGATCAAGGCAGTGGGTCCGGTGAGTTCACAGGTTCCTTTGGTATTAACAGTGAGACAAATAAGGCATCCAAGAAAATATGGAGAGCTTATAGTGATCGGACAATATTTTGCAGGGCTTGTCAGAAACAAAGTGTTTCTCTCTTATTGTAAAATTAGTTGTAATGATCAATGATGATATTAGTAACAAAAATCTATATAATATCCTTGCTCAAGTCTGAGAAAATAGTAATTGGAACACTAAATTAGATATATTTTCAAAATGTATGAGTCTCATTTTATACAAATAATAATTCTCTGACCTTTAATAAGAGAATCGAATATCTAGTAATTAATATGGTATGTTGACTTTCCACATTTTTCTCTGTAATTCTTTTTGAACCCTTGACCATTATATAATTCTTCTTATCTTAAAATGGAGATTAAATTATATATTTTGTTAATTTTCTAACACAACTTTAGAGAATTGAATATTGAATAATTAAAGTGGCATGTTGGTCTTCCGAATTCTTCTCTGTAATTATACTTTTGAATTTTTCCAACCATTGATATAATCCGTTTTCCCCTAATATACCTTTAATCTTTGAAATAATCCTGTTCTCCTTAGAATGAAAAATTGAAGAAGGAATGATTAGAAGTGTACATTGGTTTTCCACATTCTTCCCTATAACCTTTTTCATATTTTTTGGACCTTTGATCTCCAATCTGGTACCTTTATCTTTATAGGTACATGCGGTCTATATCCACATCTACATATTCTTGGGCTGCATGATCGGCTTGACGTTGTTCGTGGGCGTGGTCATTGCCAATTACTCGGAGAACAAGGGCACGGCTCTGCTGACCGTTGACCAAAGGCGTTGGTGTGACCTCAAGAAGCGTCTGAAGATCGCCCAGCCTCTCCACTTGCCGCCCAGACCCGACGGCCGGAAGATCCGGGCCTTCACCTACGACATCACCCAGCACATCATCTTCAAGCGGGTCATCGCGGTGGTGGTGCTGATCAACAGTATGCTGCTCTCCATCACGGTTTGTACCGGGGCTTTCAGGGGTTAAGCGGAGCACGAAGTAACTGCATGAATCTATAAAATGTATCCCTAACTCACGGTTGCCTTAGAAAGGTCTAGCTTCAGATTGATCATTTCATAAGGATTCATATAGTGAGCCAAAAAAATCATGAATCCAAAAATCAAGAAAAATAGCCATTTTAAATATTGAATAGTAAAGGGAATTTGTAATGTACCATTTAATGGTTATTTATTGGTATTTTTTTCTTTCGCCACTGTATTATTTAATTTTTAATATATTATTCGAAAAACTATTCAATTTAACATCAAACTGGGCTTGCCCCAATTTCAGATATGTATATAATCGGTAGCAAAAAGTATTTTCTAGTTTATGAAATAATAATAATCTTGTGACAAGTGTAAATCATTTATGTACCATAGATATCCATAACGACCAATTTAAAATTAGATGCGCATACTTTCAAGACACATTTGGTGATATAAGTGAGCCGCCAAAAAATATGCTTTTGACTTTGATAATTAACCGCTCTAGGCCCAAAGTCATAATAACTGCATGCCAGCACGTTTGTACAAATGCATATAGCTAAATATAGAATAACGTGGCTAATGACCCACTGAAATCCGAAATAACTAGCAATAATGCCAATAACCGAAAAACAAAATCAAAAAAGCATAGCAAGATAATGAATGTATGGAGTTATGAATTGAAACAGTAGTATGTAACTGCGTAGCTTAGAGCTTAGAGATTACAGATTAGAGATTAGCCTCGGAGCTCCCGACTTGGAGCGGTATACTCTATCGTCATAGTCTCTTGTCTCAATTGTCTACTGCAGTGGATCAAGGGAGAGGTGCATACGGAACGCCTGGTGATCGTCAGTGCGGTATTGACCTTTGTCTTTGTGGTTGAGGTGGTGATGAAGAACATTGCCTTTACACCGCGCGGCTATTGGCAATCTAGGCGCAATCGCTATGACCTACTCGTCACCGTTGCCGGTGTGATTTGGATTATATTGCAGACCATTCTGCGGGTAAGTTGTCACTGCTGTTGTTGTCCAATCAAACAAAAAAAAAAAACCACCAACCACCCAACCACAACCATACAAACCCAAGAACCTAACTACCATCAGTACCCCACTGAACACTGACCTCTGACCTCTAATCTCTGACAGAACGATCTGTCCTACTTCTTCGGCTTCATGGTGGTCATCCTGCGCTTCTTCACCATCACCGGCAAGCACACCACACTGAAGATGCTCATGTTGACCGTGGGCGTGTCTGTATGCAAGTCCTTCTTCATTATCTTTGGCATGTTTCTGCTAGTCTTCTTCTATGCGCTGGCCGGGACCATTCTCTTCGGTGAGCTGGGTTCCAAAAAAAAAAAAATATATTACAAGTGTTATAAATAAAGAGTGTTACCAGAGTCAGACCCCCGAAACCCAACCGCCCGTCCCTACTGACCTCTCCACCCGGCTGATTCTCGTTTCAGGCACGGTCAAGTACGGCGAGGGCATCGGCCGGAGGGCCAACTTCGGGTCACCCGTCACCGGGGTGGCCATGCTCTTCCGGATCGTCACCGGCGAGGATTGGAACAAGATCATGCACGACTGCATGGTCCAGCCGCCGTACTGCACCCTGGGCAACAACTACTGGGAGACGGATTGCGGCAACTTCACCGCCAGCCTGATCTACTTCTGCACCTTCTACGTGATCATCACGTACATAGTGCTAAACTTGCTTGTGGGTAGGTCTCTCGCGGAATTGTCGGGTTACTCGGAACGTACTATGAGTAACCAACGATTTGTAACAACTACGTAATTATTAGGAAAATTGCATCATTGTCATTACGTAAATAAAAAGTTTTAAAATAGTTACTTTAGAATTCAATAATGATATCCATTTCTTTTATAAGACCAATATACTCTGTTCGCAATTTAAAGTAAAAACACTTTTAACTAACAAAAATAATACTTATAAATAGAGGTTTCCAAAAAATCTCTGCTAATCTAGTTCTAACTATGCATTTTTTTATATCGTCGAATTCTTCAGACATTATTAGTAAAACCTTTAAAACCAAAAATTCTAATCTGGAATCTATACTATACATATCATTTATATATCGTCGGATTATATGTGAGATAATTTTTATAACCGCCGATTCCCAATGATTCTGCCTTGGTTATAAAATATTTTTATTAAATCATATATTTTATAAAACAGTTTTGTAACCAGACAAGGATTGAGGGAAAACGTATGTTATAAGAAATGATTTTATGATAAGCATGTTATATAACAAGTTCCAATTGAATTTTTCCCTTTCCGCAGCTATTATCATGGAGAACTTTTCCCTCTTCTACTCGAATGAAGAGGATGCCCTGCTTTCGTATGCGGATATACGCAATTTCCAGAACACCTGGAACATTGTGGACATCCATCAGCGAGGAGTGATACCCGTGCGCCGGGTGAAGTTCATTCTGCGCCTGCTGAAGGGACGACTGGAGTGCGATCCGCAGAAGGATCGTCTGCTGTTCAAGTACATGTGCTATGAGCTGGACAAGCTGCACAACGGCGAGGATGTGACCTTCCACGATGTGATCAAGTGGGTTATCTTTAATTGTTGAATGTGGATAGTTTATAGATTTTAGCCGTATTAATATCTCATCTATTTCAAATTCATTTCAGCATGCTGAGCTACCGCTCCGTGGACATTCGAAAGGCGCTGCAGCTGGAGGAGCTGTTGGCGCGCGAGGAGTTCGAGTACCTGGTTGAGGAGGAGGTGGCCAAGATGACCATCCGCACCTGGCTGGAGGGGTGCCTTAAGAAGATTCGGGCCCAAAATGCTAGCGTAAGTTTGACAAATTGCAATTTAAACGACTTTACAAAATTATACCTTTCATATGCTACAATTATAAATTCTTGATAATATACAACCTGTTATTGTTTCTTTCTCATTGCAGAAGCAGCAGAACTCGCTGATTGCCGGCCTGCGGGCCACCAACGAGCAGCCCGTGATGCGGCCGAATGTCCAGGAGGACAAGGCTCCTCTGGGCGCGGCGGACAAGTCGGCGATCAGCACGATCAGTGGGGCGGTGGCTGGTGCCTGTCCGCCCACCAGTGACGCCTTCTCGCCGACCTTCAGCTCAACGGAGAACGAGGAGAAGGATGGCAGTAGCAGTGCGATGGTGCAGTTGCCCCATCCGGAGCTACCACTAACCGGAACCGGAAGTTCGGCGACGGTAGCGACAGTGCCGGCGGTCCAGACCAGCGCCGCTCGTCATGTGATGGCGGTGGGCAAGCGGGGCTATGCGCTGAATCGTTCCGATTCCACGGGCAGCTCGGCGGGCAGGAAGTTCCTGGCTCCCACCTCCAGTGATCCGCAGCAGCGCTCGACGCTGAGCGACAAGGAGCGGCTGCACATCAGCAGTCAGCAGCGGAAGAAGAACTCGATGACCACATTGCCACATGCAGGTCAACTGGGACAGTTGGCCAAACAGCGGGGTGGAGGCGGCGGCGGCGGCGGTGGTGGAGAGGCTAGCAAATCCTCCAGCTTCTTTGCCCAGCTGAACAGCGAGATTGGCCAGTTCCATTATCCGACAATAAACGCAGCAGCCGCCGCCGCTGCTCTCCATGGCTATGGACATGGACATGGTCAGCACCAGCAGCATCATCACCATGGTGGAGGAGGAGGTGCCCTGGGCAGCCCGTCGGCCATGATGAGCCAAATGATTGGGGGCAGCGGGAAGTTGCTGCCGTTTAATAACCAGGCGAATGCCGTCTACGAGGTCCACGACTGGTGGCAGGAGCAGGTTCTTTGTCCACAGACCAGCGATGACGAGATCTAGCAAAGGCCCAAGCGGAGAGCGGGAGGAGGAGCAAGATTAGGAGGAGCATCAGGAGGCGGAGTAACGATAGCTGGTTCCCCCCGAGGATGGCCCAAAGCCGGAAGCCGGAAGTGCCGCAGAGGTGGTGGAGCTGGAGCCTATTAAACATTATCAACAACTAGTGGCCTAGAACTTTTTTGTATATGCCTAATAAGTGTAAATGTATCGGCCTCACAATTAACGGTTAACAATTCTTAACGAGTATATAGATATATTAGCTATAGTTTAGCACTGGGTAAAAATGAAACAAAAACAAACGAAAACCCAAAACAAAAAAAAACAAGGGCAACCATTAGTTTTACGTTTTGTTGTTGTTTGCGTGCTAGATGGTAAATATGATCAGTCAGTCGGTAACTTTGTTATAGCTTAAATATATATATATAAAGAAATATATATTATATATATGTATAATGAGTATATTGCATATGAATTGCATATGTCTTATGTATAGTGCAAATTTATAAGCGCGCTGCCTCACCAAATGGAGCATTGAAATTCGTAAGTTGCGTAAAACGATTAAGTAGCTAACGAATATATAGGAATGCCAAACAAAATAAATCTCCATCTTACCGATTCGAACTAGCCAAGTTTATACCAAGTAGTAGATGTAGAAAAGAAGACACGAAATAAAACACACACAAAACCAGACACCAAATAGAAAGAGATGCCTATTAAGATATTTTGAGATTAGCCAAAAAAGAACTCAGCACAAATTAATATTAAAGTTATTACTACGAGTATAGCCGATGCCCCATTCAATGCGACCTCCCCCTTCCGAAGTGAAGCGTAATAAAAATCGTTGAAATTGCAGAACGTTTTAAAAAAAACCCTCTTGGCTGCTCAATGAATGAATGGGTTTTGGGGAACGTGCGCCCGCAGGGGCTTCAACTACGTCGCTCCGGTTCGATAATCTTGGGCTTATGCTTATGCCAACCTTATGGAACAGGTGCGTGCCAAGGGGCAGAGCAGTGCATCCGTTCCCGCTGCCGGAACGATCGAGCTTTCGGTCGCCGTCCGGAATTCAAATTCTTGCACAGACTAGGGACCCGACTCCGTCCACGCGGCCACGGCTTAAATATGCCCTTGGGGGGGCTGAAAAGCTCAGTACCGAGGGTGTAGCTCGGGTGTTCACAGCACTCTGACCCGCCCACAAAAAAGGACACAATCCAAGGATAGCCCGGCAGCAGCACGTTGACAAGATGCAACTGTTCGTAATCTGCCTGCTGGTGGCCACCACGGCCGCATTCACGATGTTCGGCCCGCACATCCGAATCGTGCCCGGCCAAAAGCCCAACGAGATAGTCCTTCACTTTCGCAATCCGTGCAACAATAAAACCAGCACCACGACCCTAAAGCCGCCACCACCTCCTTGTCCAGATCATCCCACCACGCCAGCCTGTGAGCACCGCATTACCAGTCCGGCTCCCACGAAGCCTCAATGCCCACATGCCACCACCACTCCGCACAATTGTGGGGGAGACACGACGAGTTCAAGTAGGGCCACCACTCCCAAGCCAACATTGCAAACGACTATAGGGACAACTTTCAAGACGACGACATTGAAGCCCACTGAAGGGACAACGGTCAAACCGACCACTCTTAAACCCACAGAATCAACGACGGGGAAGACCACAGAGAAGACTTCTCCCAAACCGACAACTCTGAAACCGACTGACCCTACGACTCTGAAACCCACAGAAAAAACAACCGCCAAGCCAACAACTCTAAAATCAACAGAGGCAACGACAGTGAAGACCACAGAGAAGACGTCTGTCAAACCGACAACTTTGAAACCGACTGAGCCAACGACAGTAAAGACCACCGAGAAGACGTCTGCGAAACCGACAACTCTGAAACCCACTGAGCCCACGACTCTGAAGCCCACTGAAGGAACATCGGCCAAGCCAACAACTCTGAAACCAACTGATGGTACAACGGCCAAGCCGACAACTCTAAAACCAACTGAGCCAACGACAGTGAAGACCACAGAGAAGACGTCCGCGAAACCGACAACTCTGAAACCCACTGAGCCCACGACTCTGAAGCCCACTGAAGGAACAACTGCCAAGCCGACAACTCTGAAACCAACTGATGGAACAACGGCCAAACCGACAACTCTAAAGCCAACTGAGCCAACGACAGTGAAGACCACCGAGAAGACGTCCGCGAAACCGACAACTCTGAAACCCACGGAGCCCACGACTCTGAAGCCTACTGAAGGAACGACGGCCAAGCCGACAACTTTGAAACCAACTGATGGTACAACGGCCAAGCCGACAACTCTAAAACCAACAGAGCCAACGACAGTGAAGACCACAGAGAAGACGTCTGTCAAACCGACAACTCTGAAACCCACTGAGCCCACGACTCTGAAGCCCACTGAAGGAACAACGGCCAAACCGTCAACCCTGAGACCAACTGATGGAACAACGGCGAAGCCGACAACTCTAAAACCAACAGAGGCAACGACAGTGAAGACCACAGAGAAAACGTCCGCTAAACCGACAACTCTGAAACCGACTGACCCTACGACTCTGAAACCCACAGAAAAAACAACGGCCAAGCCAACAACTCTAAAATCAACAGAGGCAACGACAGTGAAGACCACAGAGAAGACGTCTGTCAAACCGACAACTTTGAAACCGACTGAGCCAACGACAGTAAAGACCACCGAGAAGACGTCTGCAAAACCGACAACTCTGAAACCCACTGAGCCCACGACTCTGAAGCCCACTGAAGGAACAACGGCCAAGCCGACAACTCTGAAACCAACTGGTGGTACAACGGCCAAGCCAACAACTCTAAAACCAACTGATTCAACGACAGTGAAGACCACCGAGAAGACGTCCGCGATACCGACAACTCTGAAACCCACTGAGCCCACAACTCTGAAGCCTACTGAAGGAACAACTGCCAAGCCGACAACTCTGAAACCAACTGATGGAACAACGGCCAAACCGACAACTCTAAAGCCAACTGAGCCAACGACAGTGAAGACCACCGAGAAGACGTCCGCGAAACCGACAACTCTGAAACCCACGGAGCCCACGACTCTGAAGCCTACTGAAGGAACGACGGCCAAGCCGACAACTTTGAAACCAACTGATGGTACAACGGCCAAGCCGACAACTCTAAAACCAACAGAGCCAACGACAGTGAAGACCACAGAGAAGACGTCTGTCAAACCGACAACTCTGAAACCCACTGAGCCCACGACTCTGAAGCCCACTGAAGGAACAACGGCCAAGCCGACAACTCTGAAACCAACTGATGGAACAACGGCCAAACCGACAACTCTAAAACCAACTGATTCAACGACAGTGAAGACCACCGAGAGGACGACCGCGAAACCGACAACTTTGAAACCCACTGAGCCCACGACTCTGAAGCCCACTGATGGAACAACGGCCAAGCCGACAACTCTAAAACCAACTGATTCAACGACAGTGAAGACCACCGAGAAGACGTCCGCGAAACCGACAACTCTGAAGCCCACTGAGCCCACGACTCTGAAGCCTTCTGAAGGAACGACGGCCAAGCCGACAACTCTGAAACCAACTGATGCTACAACGGCCAACCCGACAACTCTAAAACCAACTGATTCAACGACAGTCAAGCCCACCGAGAAGACGTCCGCGAAACCGACATCTCTGAAACCCACGGAGCCCACGACTCTGAAGCCCACTGAAGGAACAACGGCCAAGCCGACAACTCTGAAACCAACTGATGGAACAACGACCAAGCCGACAACTCTAAAACCAACTGATTCAACGACAGTGAAGACCACCGAGAAGACGTCCGCGAAACCGGCAACTGTGAAACCCACGGAGCCCACGACTCTGAAGCCTACTGAAGGAACAACGGCCAAACCGACAACTCTGAAACCAACTGATGGAACAACGGCCAAGCCGACAACTCTAAAACCAACAGAGGCAACGACAGTGAAGACCACAGAGAAGACGTCTGTCAAACCAACAACTCTGAAACCCACTGAGCCCACGACTCTGAAGCCCACTGATGGAACAACGGCCAAGCCGACAACTCTGAAACCAACTGATGGAACAACGGCCAAGCCGACAACTCTAAAACCAACTGATTCAACGACAGTGAAGACCACCGAGAAGACGTCCGCGAAACCGACAACTCTGAAACCCACGGAGCCCACGACTCTGAAGCCCACTGAAGGAACAACGGCCAAGCCGACAACTCTGAAACCAACTGATGGTACAACGGCCAAGCCGACAACTCTAAAGCCAACTGATTCAACGACAGTGAAGACCACCGAGAAGACGTCCGCGAAACCGACAACTCTGAAACCCACGGAGCCCACGACTCTGAAGCCCACTGAAGGAACAACGGCCAAGCCGACAACTCTGAAACCAACTGATGGTACAACGGCCAAGCCGACAACTCTAAAGCCAACTGATTCAACGACAGTGAGGACCACCGAGAAGACGTCCGCGAAACCGACAACTCTGAAACCCACTGAGCCCACGACTCTGAAGCCTTCTGAAGGAACGACGGCCAAGCCGACAACTCTGAAACCAACTGATGCTACAACGGCCAACCCGACAACTCTTAAACCAACTGATTCAACGACAGTCAAGCCCACCGAGAAGACGTCCGCGAAACCGACAACTCTGAAACCCACGGAGCCCACGACTCTGAAGCCCACTGAAGGAACAACGGCCAAGCCGACAACTCTGAAACCAACTGATGGTACAACGGCCAAGCCGACAACTCTAAAACCAACTGATTCAACGACAGTGAAGACCACCGAGAAGACGTCCGCGAAACCGACAACTCTGAAACCCACGGAGCCCACGACTCTGAAGCCCACTGAAGGAACAACGGCCAAGCCGACAACTCTGAAACCAACTGGTGGAACAACGACCAAGCCGACAACTCTAAAACCAACTGATTCAACGACAGTGAGGACCACCGAGAAGACGTCCGCGAAACCGACAACTGTCAAACCCACTGAGCCCACGACTCTGAAGCCTACTGAAGGAACAACGGCCAAGCCGACAACTCTGAAACCAACTGATGGTACAACGGCCAAGCCGACAACTCTAAAACCAACTGAGCCCACGACTCTGAAGCCCACTGAAGGAACAACGGCCAAGCCGACAACTCTTAAACCAACTGATTCAACGACAGTGAAGACCACCGAGAGGACGACCGCGAAATCGACAACTCTGAAACCTACGGAGCCAACGACTCTGAAGCCCACTGAAGGAACAACTGCCAAGCCGACAACTCTGAAACCAACTGATGGAACAACGGCCAAGCCGACAACTCTAAAACCAACTGATTCAACGACAGTGAAGACCACCGAGAAGACGTCCGCGAAACCGACAACTGTGAAACCCGCTGAGCCCACGACTCTGAAGCCTACTGAAGGAACAACGGCCAAACCGACAACTCTGAAACCAACTGATGGAACAACGGCCAAGCCGACAACTCTTAAATCAACAGAGGCAACGACAGTGAAGACCACAGAGAAGACGTCTGTCAAACCAACAACTCTGAAACCCACTGAGCCCACGACTCTGAAGCCCACTGATGGAACAACGGCCAAGCCGACAACTCTGAAACCAACTGATGGAACAACGGCCAAGCCGACAACTCTAAAACCAACTGATTCAACGACAGAAAAGACCACAGAGAAGACGTCCGCGAAACCGACAACTCTGAAACCCACTGAGCCCACGACTTTGAAGCCCACTGAAGGAACAACGACCAAGCCGACAACTCTGAAACCAACTGATGGTACAACGGCCAAGCCGACAACTCTAAAACCAACTGATTCAACGACAGAAAAGACCACAGAGAAGACGTCTGTCAAACCGACAACTCTGAAGCCCACTGAGCCCACGACTGTGAAGCCCACTGAAGGAACAACGGCCAAGCCTACAACTCTGAAACCAACTGATGGAACAACGGCCAAGCCGACAACTCTAAAACCAACTGATTCAACGACAGTGAAGACCACCGAGAAGACGTCCGCGAAACCGACAACTCTGAAACCCATTGAGCCCACGACTCTGAAGCCTTCTGAAGGAACGACGGCCAAGCCGACAACTCTGAAACCAACTGATGCTACGACGGCCAACCCGACAACTCTAAAACCAACTGATTCAACGACAGTCAAGCCCACCGAGAAGACGTCCGCGAAACCGACAACTCTGAGACCCACGGAGCCCACGACTCTGAAGCCCACTGAAGGAACAACGGCCAAGCCGACAACTCTGAAACCAACTGATGGTACAACGGCCAAGCCGACAACTCTAAAACCAACTGATTCAACGACAGTGAAGACCACCGAGAAGACGTCCGCGAAACCGACAACTCTGAAACCAACGGAGCCCACGACTCTGAAGCCCACTGAAGGAACAACGGCCAAGCCGACAACTCTGAAACCAACTGATGGTACAACGGCCAAGCCGACAACTCTAAAACCAACTGATTCAACGACAGTGAAGACCACCGAGAAGACGTCCGCGAAACCGACAACTCTGAAGCCCACTGAGCCCACGACTGTGAAGCCCACTGAAGGAACGACGGCCAAGCCTACAACTCTGAAACCAACTGATGGAACAACGGCCAAGCCGACAACTCTAAAACCAACAGAGGCAACGACAGTGAAGACCACAGAGAAGACGTCTGTCAAACCAACAACTCTGAAACCCACTGAGCCCACGACTCTGAAGCCCACTGATGGAACAACGGCCAAGCCGACAACTCTGAAACCAACTGATGGGACAACGGCCAAACCGACAACTCTAAAACCAACTGATTCAACGACAGTGAAGACCACCGAGAGGACGACCGCGAAACCGACAACTCTGAAACCCACTGAGCCCACGACTCTGAAGCCCACTGAAGGAACAACGGCCAAGCCGACAACTCTGAAACCAACTGATGGAACAACGGCCAAGCCGACAACTCTAAAACCAACTGATTCAACGACAGAAAAGACCACAGAGAAGACGTCTGTCAAACCGACAACTCTGAAGCCCACTGAGCCCACGACTGTGAAGCCCACTGAAGGAACAACGGCCAAGCCTACAACTCTGAAACCAACTGATGGAACAACGGCCAAGCCGACAACTCTAAAACCAACTGATTCAACGACAGTGAAGACCACCGAGAAGACGTCCGCGAAACCGACAACTCTGAAACCCACTGAGCCCACGACTCTGAAGCCTTCTGAAGGAACGACGGCCAAGCCGACAACTCTGAAACCAACTGATGCTACAACGGCCAACCCGACAACTCTAAAACCAACTGATTCAACGACAGTCAAGCCCACCGAGAAGACGTCCGCGAAACCGACAACTCTGAAACCCACGGAGCCCACGACTCTGAAGCCCACTGAAGGAACAACGGCCAAGCCGACAACTCTGAAACCAACTGATGGTACAACGGCCAAGCCGACAACTCTAAAACCAACTGATTCAACGACAGTGAAGACCACCGAGAAGACGTCCGCGAAACCGACAACTCTGAAACCAACGGAGCCCACGACTCTGAAGCCCACTGAAGGAACAACGGCCAAGCCGACAACTCTGAAACCAACTGATGGTACAACGGCCAAGCCAACAACTCTAAAACCAACTGATTCAACGACAGTGAAGACCACCGAGAAGACGTCCGCGAAACCGACAACTCTGAAGCCCACTGAGCCTACGACTGTGAAGCCCACTGAAGGAACGACGGCCAAGCCTACAACTCTGAAACCAACTGATGGAACAACGGCCAAACCGACAACTCTAAAACCAACAGAGGCAACGACAGTGAAGACCACAGAGAAGACGTCTGTCAAACCAACAACTCTGAAACCCACTGAGCCCACGACTCTGAAGCCCACTGAAGGAACAACGGCCAAGCCGACAACTCTGAAACCAACTGATGGAACAACGGCCAAGCCGACAACTCTAAAACCAACTGATTCAACGACAGTGAAGACCACCGAGAAGACGTCCGCGAAACCGACAACTGTGAAACCCACTGAGCCCACGACTCTGAAGCCTACTGAAGGAACAACGGCCAAACCGACAACTCTGAAACCAACTGATGGAACAACGGCCAAGCCGACAACTCTAAAACCAACAGAGGCAACGACAGTGAAGACCACAGAGAAGACGTCTGTTAAACCAACAACTCTGAAACCCACTGAGCCCACGACTCTGAAGCCCACTGATGGAACAACGGCCAAGCCGACAACTCTGAAACCAACTGATGGAACAACGGCCAAGCCGACAACTCTAAAACCAACTGATTCAACGACAGTGAAGACCACCGAGAGGACGACCGCGAAACCGACAACTCTGAAACCCACTGAGCCCACGACTTTGAAGCCCACTGAAGGAACAACGGCCAAGCCGACAACTCTGAAACCAACTGATGGAACAACGGCCAAGCCGACAACTCTAAAACCAACAGAGGCAACGACAGTGAAGACCACAGAGAAGACGTCTGTCAAACCGACAACTCTGAAACCCACTGAGCCCACGACTTTGAAGCCCACTGAAGGAACAACGGCCAAGCCGACAACTCTAAAACCAACTGATTCAACGACAGTGAAGACCACCGAGTGGACGACCGCGAAACCGACAACTCTGAAACCCACTGAGCCCACGACTCTGAAGCCCACTGAAGGAACAACGGCCAAGCCGACAACTCTGAAACCAACTGATGGTACAACGGCCAAGCCGACAACTCTAAAACCAACTGATTCAACGACAGTGAAGACCACCGAGAAGACGTCCGCGAAACCGACAACTGTGAAACCCACTGAGCCCACGACTCTGAAGCCTACTGAAGGAACAACGGCCAAACCGACAACTCTGAAACCAACTGATGGAACAACGGCCAAGCCGACAACTCTAAAACCAACAGAGGCAACGACAGTGAAGACCACAGAGAAGACGTCTGTCAAACCGACAACTCTGAAACCCACTGAAGGAACAACGGCCAAGCCGACAACTTTGAGACCAACTGATGGAACAACGGCGAAGCCGACAACTTTAAAACCAACAGAGGCAACGACAGTGAAGACCACAGAGAAGACGTCTGTCAAACCGACAACTCTGAAACCCACTGAGCCCACGACTCTGAAGCCCACTGAAGGAACAACGGTCAAGCCGACAACTCTGAAACCAACTGATGGAACAACGGCCAAACCGACAACTCTAAAACCAACTGATTCAACGACAGTGAAGACCACCGAGAGGACGACCGCGAAACCGACAACTCTGAAACCCACTGAGCCCACGACTCTGAAGCCCACTGAAGGAACAACGGCCAAGCCGACAACTCTGAAACCAACTGATGGAACGACGGCCAAGCCGACAACACTAAAACCAACTGATTCAACGACAGTGAAGACCACCGAGAAGACGTCCGCGAAACCGACAACTGTGAAACCCACTGAGCCCACGACTCTGAAGCCTACTGAAGGAACAACGGCCAAACCGACAACTCTGAAACCAACTGATGGAACAACGGCCAAACCAACAACTCTAAAACCAACTGATTCAACGACAGTGAAGACCACCGAGAGGACGACCGCGAAACCGACAACTCTAAAACCCACGGAGCCCACGACTCTGAAGCCCACTGAAGGAACAACGGCGAAGCCGACAACTCTGAAACCAACTGATGGTACAACGGCCAAGCCGACAACTCTAAAACCAAATGATTCAACGACAGTGAAGACCACCGAGAGGACGACCGCGAAACCGACAACTCTGAAACCCACTGAGCCTACGACTCTGAAGCCCACTAAAGGAACAACGGCCAAGCCGACAACACTGAAACCAACTGAGCAATCGACTGTGGAGACCACAGAGAAGACGTCTGCAGTACCTACAACTCTAAAGCCTACTGAGCCTACAACAGTTAAGACGACGGAGCAGACATCTGTCGAACCGACAACTCTGAAACCCACTGAAGGAACGACGGACAAGCCGACAACTCTGAAACCAACTGAGCAATCGACTGTGGAGACTACAGAAAAGACGTCTACAGAACCTACAACTCTGAAACCTACTGAGCCAACAACAGTTAAGACAACAGAGCAGACATCTGTCGAACCGACAACTCTGAATCCCACTGAACCCACTACTATTAAGCCGACTGAAGGAACAACGGCCACACTTACAACTCTGAAACCCACTAAGCGAACGTCTCTGAAGCCCACTAAGCGAACAACATCGAAGAAGACAACCACTGAGGCTACTACGACCACCGCAACTCTTCCTCCGTTTAATATCTTTGATGTGATAACTGGAGCGGCATTAACAACCGCGTCCGATGTTTCGTAAAAGGCTCGAAACACTAATAGCATTAAGCTTGCTTAAATCCTAATCAAATTTAATTTGTATTCTAATAAACACTCAACCATAGTTAGCATAAAATTATATTATTCTCTTTAGAAGATTTTTAATTGCTTAAACACTAGCAAAAAAATGTATGTTTTGTAACTTATTCCAGGTAAGTGGCGACGAGTATTACTTCCTTATCCTATAGATTGATTCGTTTTACAGCGGAATATTATTGTCCAGGGTGTTATCGTCCTCGGTGCTTTCCTCGCTCTCAACATCGTTCGTAGGGTCCCGCCAATCGCACAGACCGGGGAACTTCTCGCTGATCCGGTGCTGGGGGCACTTGGAACCCGCCGGACCCGATTGGTAAATGGGTTCGTTAAATATGTTATTGTAGTCATAGTTGCACGTCAGCATGAACTGGAAGCGATTGGAATTGGGCTCCAGGAAGCGGACACCAGCGCAGCCCACCCGACTCACTCGATCCGAGACCAAAAGGGTGAAGTGGCCAATCTTCTTGCTGTGGGTCAAAAATATTCCGATTAAAAGATAACTCTTATAGACAACTCTATAAACGATATTTCTTTTTAGAGTACTATTTCTCTATTAACAATGATAAAGTTATTGTTAGAAATACTTTACGGTTCTACCCAAACCCATTAAAAAAGTAATGCTGACAATGCTATAAACATAAGAATATTTTGCAGCAGGGTAATCATTACGCAAGTGAATCTGCTTATATCAGAAGTGTTTGAAAAAGCTGTTCTATTAGTAAATGACAAAATCTGTAAAGCGGATAATAAATCTAAAATATGTAGTGGTAACTGCATTTATCGGGTAATGTATTCGGTTTAAATTACGTTTTTCTAGATTTCTTATTTATGTGGATGTGATCAACTTACCCCTGCGGATGTGGGCGATAGCTATCGATGAAGCTCTGGTTGGCATCCTGGTACTCGCGGAACCAGTTGATCACAAAGGATTTCATGCGCCGCGAATGCGATTTGAACTCGCGTCCAATCCAAAAGTAACCGATATTTTGACCGCTGAACTTGAAGCGCGGCGTATTGCGGCACTTGTCGTGGGCGAACTGGCAGCGTTTGGCGTGCAGGGCGGCCATTTGCTCCAGTTCGTTGTCCCAGCGCAGGAGCGGCATGTGAGCGGCACTTTGATAGCCAGCCAGTTCTCCGCTGGCGATCTTTGATCTGGCCAAGTTGTGCATGTCCAGCAGAAGTTGGCGCCGCCGATCGCTCATATCCAGGAGCTTAGGCTCCGGTCCACAGGCGGAGGAAAAGCTACCATCGTTGCCGCAAGCGGTATGTGGCACATTAACCACGTGCGTACCATTGTACAGCTCACATAGTTCCGGCACACAATAGCCGGCTGTGGGGTGTGTAGCCGCTCTGGGCAGTAGAGTCCTCGTGGGCGGTGGCGCCTTGGTTGGCGGTGGTGGCTTGGTTGGCGGTGCTGCCCTGGTTGGCGGTGGAGCTCTAGTAGGTGGTGGAGCCCTGGTGGTCACAGCTCCCGTTAAACCTCCTTGACAATCCAAAATCAAAAGGAGCACTGCAGGCGCCCAAAGAACGGTGGCCACGCTGCACTTGCTCAACAATCTCGGCATCTCGACGGTCAACACGCTACTGATCGGAGGTCGAGCAGCACTTTGGGTTTATGAATGGGTCTCTGGCTAAACCATCGGCCAGCTCGGCTGGCGTCGCTGCTTTTCCCACATCTTGGGGTTGGGCAGCGCTGCGGGGCCCCACAACTGGTTCTCATTAGAAAGAAATTAGCCATGGGAATTAGTGGAGCTTTAACATGAGGACATCGGATCTGGCCATTCTTAAAATATTATCTTAATCATAATTTTAATAGTCTTTGGTGTGATTAGGTGGAAATTAGCTGTAGAAGTTAGTTATTAATAGAAGGGAACCTCTTAACTTAAGATATTCACAAGTCGAACGAGTGTCTAGAAAATCGAAATCGAAGTTTTTTCTTTCACAATAATTTGATCTAATATTATATCTATCTGAACGGGGAATATGAAATTCAGGCTTTACTACTTGATATACGCAATGAAATATAATAATATCATATTAAAACATAAAATACATTTTGAATTTTATATTTTAAATTTAAAAAAATCCCAATATATTTAAGATATTATTATTAAGATAAGAAGTTCCTTAATATCGTCTGATTAATTGAGTGCAAGTGACTTAAAGTTACTTACGATAGAATTTATTTTTTTTCCCAGTGAAGATTGGGTTTTTTAGGAACTGGACACCCTGTGCGCAACACTCTTCCCTATCCAGCTTCCGTAATTGCACCGCAAACGCTGCACCACTAGATCACTCGTTCATATATCACCCCTACAGCACCCCCATATCATCGCCGAACCGAATCAAACTGAACCGATTCGAACCGATTATCCGTGGTGAACCGGTTTGGCGTCGGCCCAACGCTCCGGGCGTTGATGGTTGGGGTAAGTCTGTCTATAAGTCTGGGTCTGGCCCCCGTGTAAGTGGTATAATCAGTTACCGCCGGCAAGTGTGGGAAAAATGCTCGCTTCAAGGCAATTGCCGATAAGTAGCCGAGCCGGGGAATTATTATTGACTTTCCGCACAGTTTTACAAAACTACTAACCCGGCTAAGAGCCGTTAACACAATACAAACGACTGTCGTAAACCCAAAAAAATAAAAAATAAAACAACACAACAAATGTACAGAACGCAGAAAAATACAGAGATTAAAGAAACGTAGACAGAAACGTGCCTCACACCTAATCGGCGTTAATTAAAATAACAATGCTTCGACAGCTGAAGCTTCGCATTAAAAAAACTTACAAAAGCAAAATGCAAAATATGCAAAAAGCCGAAAACGTCAATAATACAAAAAAAATAAAACAACTTATGATTATGACTCGGACCGTTGTGACGTCGAATGGCCATCCCCGATAAAGCAAAAAATATTTATTGTTTCTGGATCTGAGTCTGGGTCAATTCTATTTTTATATAGGGCTTAAAAAACCATAAACGACAGCCAATTCTTCTTAATTTTCATGTTCTTTCATTTCAGCATATTACACTTGCAACAGTCAATGTTTTTTTTTTACGGAAATTACGATTTCTTAAATTTACATGGTAAAAATAACAGTTCAGATCCGTATCCTAATAAAAATAAAATTGTCTGAAAGGGTATTGGCCACGTGAGCTGCCATGGAACACAAAATATGTTCTACTTAATTTGGCACGTGCCTTGTTATGGGATCATAAAGTTTCTTATTTTGAAATATTTTTCGCTTGAATCTGTGTACCAGGGTATTTGAGTTTTCAGACCATTGGTTAAAAAATCTAGACTCAGCTATTTCTTTTATTGGCCAATTGCGATGCTACTGGTTGTTTCGCTTTATTGGCCTTATAACATCACTGAGTTTCTTTAAGAAGTTCGACTCATCCGATGCGATCATTGACTTTTTTTCAAAATAAGAGTGGTTTAATGAAGAGAATTTATAAAAAAAGGTATTCAAATGAAATGTGCATGCATATAATTTGTTTTCGATTATTTGCAAAATACTTACAGCCTTATAAAATATAGTTTCTTCGTATTGGAAAACTCTTAATTGTAGTCTGCACCAATTTTCCCATTATTCATTGATTCTTAAAATTTATGCGTCACTCTCGCCGATAAATTGATTTTTCAATTAAAGTGCCACTTGCAATTTCCATTCAACAAGTCTTGGGTTTTATTGGCTGACTCAATTGAAGTTCTCCCGCATATATGATTAGCCAGATATGATTATGAATGATTTGTGCGCTTCTATCGAGCCGCAACCGCAATAGTTGTTATATGGTTGCTTTACGATCTCTGCTGGTCTTCAAGACCTGTACTCGTATTTCGTCGACAGCATCTCTCAACTGCTGTTGTAATTAAAGATCTCTTGGCACATCTCACTATCATCAGATAGATCAGTCAAATTCAAAGTCAATGTTAAAGTTGGAGAAGTTCGCGTGTTTTGGGTAAGGGACGAACGAGCGGCGCATATATATAATTTGCATAGAAAATGATTAATCACGCAGCGATTAATTGCCATCGACGTCAACGCTGCAGTTGTTAAGTAAAAACAATAAATTTAGCAGCGACTAAACATAAATTACGCTGAAAATGTGTACGAAAATACATTTGGGGCCGGCTAAACCCGCTCGGCGTTATGATTGGCAGCATAATTACCATATGTCTGGCTGCCCAGCGACCGCTGCACTTCCTCATTCTGTAATTACACCAATTGCGGCAGTACATCACGTTAAGCGTGACGCCACCTGACCTCGGGGTCGCCGATAATCATATTGGAATGCCAGATCTATATCTATAAGTATCTATGTACATCTATGGATGTGTCGCCAAACAAGAAGTGCTTGTGGCGGAAGTGCAGGCACAATTGTTTGTCCAAGAAAGGGGAAAAGACTACTAATGGGTTCCAAAAAGTTAAAGAGGCTCGACCATTTCAATCCCAAGTCTGTTATGAGAGGCTTCTTATAAGATGAGATTAGATAAGATTTATTACTTTAAAGATTATAAATTTTAATATCCATTTTTATCTTAGTTATGACTATGTTTTCGAAGGCTTGCATACGTGTACCCACAATATCTAAAGCTATCTATATTTTAAAGCTCATAATGTCAATGGATTTCTTAAAAATTATATTATTAAATATTATAACGATTATATAACATTGTAACATTTTCAACACATATTTAAGACCCTTTTTTCAATTGCAAAATTCTTTTTAATTCTAAAAAGTTGCCCCGAAACCGCATTTCTGGAGACCATGACATATCAATCGATCTCCGGAAAATCGAAATGTTATATTGTTTAATTCCCTGATAGTTTTTTTTATAATATTTTTTTTAAATAATGTTTTATCATGTTTCCCTTAAGAATTCTTAGTTTTTAGTGACGTTAAGTCAAAACCATCTTGTTTCGAGCCTAAGTTTACCAACCTTAATCGTTGCACGGCCACACAACGATTGCGTCACAGCTTCTGGGTGGCTTTCTAATGTCCGGCGATGAAGGCTCCCATCATAATTAGCATATTTCGCCCAGTGTCTTTTGGCCTGGCCAACGGTGATCTCTTTGTGTCCGTGTGACTGTGTGATTGTGTGAGCCACATAATTGCTGGCAACAGAACGTGACGTTTGCAGTGGCGACTTCGTGTCGTGGGTTGTTCGGCTGTTGGGTTGTTGGGTTGTTGGATTGTTACCTTGGCAATTAGTTGGTCGAATCTGCCAAGACATAATTACACGATGCAGCTCCCCTAAATCTACGGAACTTTGGTCCCTTTCATCTGTGTGTGCTTTGTTTACATTTCGGTAGTTTACCGTTTTAATTAAGGGGAATTATCAAAAACGTTCCTTGTGTTTTTGCCAACCAGATGTTCTTCTTGGCGTTACCCTTTTAAAATTGTTTAAAAAATTAGGTAAATATTGGTAAATTGCTTATAAAATAATATAGATGGTTAGTATAATTGTCAATTTAAATCTGTTATATTTGTCAGTAAAATAGTATCATTAGAATGGTTATGCGAAAGGTTTTATAGTGCATAGTTATAGTATATAAAGCATACATATTAAGGTTAAAAGGAGTCATGATACTGGCTCTATTTTTGACCAACTGACTAGATTTATTTCAGAAATTCATAGCTACCTTAAGATGATAAAAATCAAAATTCACAATTTAATCATAATTAAGTTGTTTCCACTTTACTCTGTAGGTTGCCATGATTTTCTAGAGTAAAATAATACTAGTGTCATAAGGCCTTGAGAATGTTCCATAAAATAAAGTCAAATATATTATATAAAATATTATAGAAACAGAATTTTCTTTTTTAATAGTTTACAGATTTTTGATTTAATAATAATAGCCTACAATGGAATCACACTTGTTGAATCCTGTTCTTTTGATCTAATTTTGGGATGAAAATTCGAGAGCATTGTGATGTTTTTGCATGCTATTTCCGGTTTGTGTCTTGGCTGGTAATATTGCGATTTTCCGAAAGTGGTTTGTTGGCTTTTCCCGCTTTCCCCGCCTTTCCCCTGGCAAAACGCTGCTGTTGTCCGATGCCATTACTATTGTCAGCCAGTTGTCAGGTGTTGGCAGTGGGCTAGCTGCATTTCATTTTCATTTTCATTTCATTTTATTAAATTTAATTTTCGGCTTTGTCTCTCCGGCCATGTGTGCGTGTGTGTGTGTATCTGCACTAATTAAATTCATGGTGAAATTTTTCTAATTAAAAGTTTACTAATGAAATTTATGCAGCTGCTGTTGCCAATGCTGCTGTCTGCTTTTGCGTGGGTGTGTGTGTGTGTTTGGGTTGGTCGAAAGCCCAAAAGTCGCGCTTTCAATTAAAAATCGCCACGAACGGTCGGGATTTTGCGTAGATTGGAAGTGGGGGGTGGTTTTTGGGGGATTTTACACACGGACAGCTGGCCAGCTTGATGTGCTCGAATTAGATTTGTATTAAATTGCATTTTTGTGGTTATTATTTATTTCATTGCATTTCGCAGCACTTTCACGTCTCACATCATGACTGACTGCATTTTTATTTATTTTATTTTTTTTATTTTACTAAACAACTGCGTGGGCAAGTTAATGCAATCAAATGTGGCATAATTAAAAACTAATATCGATTGGATTGAAGGAATGGTTTTTTTCGGGGTTTGTTTATCAACTACATGTAAATAAATGAGCAGGCCTTGATTAAGTTGATTATATAGATATTATTTACACATTGTCATTATCCCTAGGCCATTCAATCAAACAGTACTATTTTTTTTTATTCGGCTCAACATTTTCTCAACGAAACTGATTCGTGTCGATTGGAATAATGCCTCATCTTCCATCTGAAATGGCTAAAAAACGAAGCAGGTCTCCAGATACCGGTAGTAACATTATGGATCAGCCCCCAATAAAACGAGTTAAGCTCTTCGGAGATCTGGAAGTAGAGAAGAGGTCTTTCGCATGGCTACCTGAGAAAGCCGAGTAAATATTTATTTTACATGGTATAATGAAAAATTAATCATTTTCCTTAACCTAAAGATTAAAATTAGGACATTGGGATAAATATATATATTATAAAATGACACACTCTTTGGATAAGAAAATTGGTAAGGTCTGAAAATCTCAAATGCCTATTGATAAATATCTATAAGAAACAATTTGGAAGCATATTATTATATAAAAACTTATCCCTTAATTAGATTTGACACCTAAATTGGGTTAACAGGTTAATGAATTACCATTCTTTGGCGTTTGCAGTGTTTATGGTTAAAAAGTTAATATCATCGATGGAACTCAAGGCAAGCGGTACATCTAAGACTGGAGTATTTTTGATTCGTCTCAAACTGGCGGAAAAATTGAATACTTTTTGCCATCAAAATGGAATTAGAACATATATAATGATACAGTCTTTGGATAAGGAAATGAGGTAAGTATTTAATAGATACCCATAATCTGAAAACAGATTATAATATAATATCTTAAATTAGATTTGGCACCCAAACTGGGCTGACGGGTTTCCAATTGTTCGTTTTCTTGGTTATATATCATTATCATTAGTATCATGGTGATACCTTGGACCGGAGTGCGTTTTCGACAAGTGCGGAGTGTCCTTCTTGAGGACGGGAGTATTAGGTAATTACATGCACACGAGGCAACTCAATTACGGAAGCGTTTTGCGCCATGTGGCGGCTGCCAAGAATTTCATTTGGTTGGCAAGTCACGTGATGTGCAACAGCAGCAGCCGCTTGTGGGTAACGTTATGTTTGGGGGTCGGGTGTCGGGGGTCAGGGGTCAAACGCTGACCCGACACAATGATAAACTGCGTGCCGCAATATGAGGCACCACAGCCGCAGAACTTTTGGCCAAGTGCTGCGCGTAGGAGAACCGGCCTGCCGCTAATTTATGTCCTCCTTCCTGGCCCTTTCGCCCCCCCCCCCCCCCCCCCCCCGTTAAAAGATGGATCCTGGCCGATGGCCAGAGTCCTTCGGATGGACTCGCCAGTGTTTAACATGCGCCGACTGCCTTTCTAGTTTTCCCTGCTTTCCCTCCTTTCTCTCAATTTCTTTTTTTCTTTTTTTTTTCGGCAGCGACATGGTCAACTGGCACATGCCATTCCCAGCGGCACGCTCCAGGGGCATCAATATTCCCGACGCTGGACGGGCATGGCCACCTCCGGAGGGGCATGGCAGTCGCAGGACCACCGAGGCTCCCAAGACACACAGATGCACTGGGGGAAAAGAGGCCACCGCAGCGGTTCCAGGCCAATTCAAGAGGTAAATGACAGTGCCACAAGTTCGAACTTTAAGTCCAGTTGTTCTTCAGTTCCACTTATAAATTGGCATTATGATGAAAAATAAATTATAAAATTGAAAATAATTAGCCCGAATTTTTTTAAAGCTTATAAACTATATATTATATTCATTTTTATAAAAACTAGAGTTTTGCTCATATCAAAAATTCAATAAACTCAACAAATTTCAGTTAAATATGAGATTGATCCAATATAATATTTTAATTAATAATAGCTATAATATTATACAAAATGTGATAAGTCGAAAGACCTTAGTCTACTAATTCTACCTACTGATTTTTGGGAAAAACTAAAGAGGGTTGACATATTCCGAAAAGTGTTTTTAGCTCAAGGATAAGTAAACCATTTGATTATGCTAAAATATGCAGCGTCGAAAATAGTCTACGTTATGTAAAACAAATCTGTAACCAATTCAAAATATACTTTTACCTTAAATCCGAGTGTACTTACAATGTCAAACAACTGTCTTGGTATTTTCATTTTAAAAATGCATCATTTTGCCCTATAGTTTTCTGTCAGTGTGCTGTGGCCAATACAATACAGGCACAAAGACACAGGAGCCAAGGCTAAAACACAGTCAAAATATTGACACGACTTGCTCTTGGCCGAGCTCTTTGTTGCGCTTTATTGACACTGCCCAAGGACGTGCATCGTATCCGTATCCTCCGTATCCTCCTGCCCTCCTGCCCTCCGCATCCTGGCCATCCTTGCTCGCCACTTTGTGCCTTCTGTCTGCCGACTTCCTTTTAATCTCGTTCCCAAATTGGCCGATTTTAAAGACATTTGCCTTGCTTCGAATGGCTTGCATTTTGAAATTCGTTTACTTCAATAATGCCAAATAATGGCTGAGATTTCGTTGGCCGATTTATATGTATTTTCCACCGACTGCCTGGCTGGCTGGCTGCTTTTCCCTTTTCCCGCAGACACGCTCGGTTTCTCACGTATGGGGTTGGTTTTTTTGAAATATCGCTGGTATTTGTTTTGTATTTTGTATTTCTCATTTTTCCTTTATTTATGCTCGTTTCGTTTTGTATTTTTTTGGATTTTCCTTAGGTTGGCTTTTGTCTTTGCCGCATTCGAGAAAAAGGAGCGTGTTTGGCTTAGGCGATTTGCACGGCTTCGAACTAATGCAAAACGGTCTTTCGGTTGTGGGTGAAAACTCAAAGATAGAATCTGCACAATCATGGCACAACGTGGTGCAAACTTTCAAGGCTTATTTGGTGCCTCTAATCTGATAGAAAAAGTAGTACCAACAAAACACTTCAATACAATGGTAGCAATAATAATCTATAGCAGAATTTAAAATTTAAGAATAATTTATTATTTAACCAAATTTTGCATTTTTTGTAATTTTTAGGCCGAAAAATAGAATTACGATTTTAGTCAAAAATACGAAATTTAGATTTTAGTCAAAAATGCGATTTTTCTTTCCAGTTTTTCAATCGTAGTTTGGTCAAAACAAGGCGTACAGCTAAAAGACCGACTGTTTTGAACAGCTCGCTAAATTTGCTAACGATCCCAATCAATTTAAGGAAAATTTATTTTTTTTGCGAAAAATGTGAAAAGTTAAACATTTCCAGGTTTTAACGCCAATGGATTGCAAATTAAGCCACGAGCTCAACGAGGTATGACATTTTTCGATCTGACGTATACTTTTTTTACAGAGGCCAAAAAACTGGATTTTTAGGGCGAAAAATGGAGTTCCGATTTTAGTCAAAAATACGAAATTTAGATTTTAGTCAAAAATGCGATTTTTCTTTCCAGTTTTTCAATCGTAGTTTGGTCAAAACAAGGCGTACACCTAAAAGACCGACTGTTTTGAACAGCTTGCTAAATTTGCTAACGATCCCAATCAATTTAAGGAAAATTTAGTTTTTGACCAATTTTCGAATTTTTTGTAAGGGGGTGCACCGTCTTTTTTTGCGAAAAATGTGAAAAGTTAAACATTTCCAGGTTTTAACGCCAATGGATTCGAAATTAAGCCACGAGTTCAACGAGGTATGACATTCTTCGATCTGAGGTATACTTTTTCTACAGAGGCCAAAAAACTGGATTTTTAGGGCGAAAACTGGAGTTCCGATTTTAGTCAAAAATACGAAATTTAGATTTTAGTCAAAAATGCGATTTTTCTTTCCAGTTTTTCAATCGTAGTTTGGTCAAAACAAGGCCTACAGCTAAAAGACCGACTGTTTTGAACAGCTTGATAAATTTGCTAACGATCACAATCAATTTAAGGAAAATTTATTTTTTGACCAATTTTTGCATTTTTTGTAAGGGGGTGCATCGTCTTTTTTTTGCAAAAAATGTGAAAAGTCAAAAATTTCCAGGTTTGAACGCCAATGGATTGGAAATTAAGCAACGAGGTATGACATTCCTCTTTAGGATCTTTATTTGCGATATGCCAGTCAAAACAATGATTTTTTAAATTTAAGATAGTATATTTCTTTAAAAGGCTATTTCATGAAAAGGTTTTAATGGAATTTCCTATTAAATGCGTATTTCCCACTCAACAACTTTTACTGTCATTTTGCTCGCCCCATGACTTTTATTTCGCCACAAATGTCAAGTGTTTAACGTAAGTCAGTTGACTTGAGCTCATCCTGATTGCATGGCGTAAATAGTGCGAGGAGGACCAAGTGTCCTGGATTTCCTTTATTTTCCTTTCTCTTTCCTTAAGCCGCGCACATCATAACGTAATCACTTTACGTTGCCGCTTAATGCGGACAGCAAACACCCATACATTCTTATGGCATTTCCATATGCAATTGGGCGCATTAATTCAATTGAGCCGATGACGATGTGGAGCCAGGATGCCAACGATAATGACCCGGGAAGGAAAGTCCCGGCCAGGACAATGAACAAATGGCATTAAATAAATAAGAATAATTAATGCAGTCCTTTGACAAGTCCTCTGGAGGCGATGTCCTTGACTTGGGGTGATGCCAATCTATCTATCTATATAGATAGGTTTATATATATATATATGTTTGGGCATCCTTTGCCTAATTTAGCCTGATGGCGGACTTTATGCGTTGACTGAGCGACAGGAGACTTGGCTACAGGACGCTAAGTGGCAGCAGATTCCCAGAGACTCTATAAATATGACTGTGAGTCGTAAAAATGTATGAGGCGCAGTTGTCGAAGGGCATGAATTTTATGCGGGCCTGGGTGTGTTTGTTGAGGCACTGCCAGAAAATGTCATTGAAATGGAAAAAATAAAAATAAAAACATCAGTAAAGTTAAGATTCTAGAACAAGCTATAAAACAAACTTACAAATTATGTTCTTAATGCTCATACGACTTTGAATTTAGGGGAGACAATAAAGTATTCCAAATTCCAAATGTCCATTTACTTAGGTAGAGAAATCTGATTTAAGTATTCTTAAGGTTAAAATATTTAAAGGTTTTAACATTTTAAAATAATGATGACATTTATAGTAGGCTATACCCTCAATAAGATTGTACTTATAAATCAGTTATACGATTTAGCAGTCAGAAGGAACTTAATGATTTAAAAACGTAGAATATCTTATCACTGTGATATAATATGATATTATATTTCAAATATATATTTATTTAAGAACCGATTTCTAGTAATACTTGATTGGTTGCAAGTTCTATTTTCATAAAATCCAACTATGGTCTTATAAAATAAATTTTAACCAGGTAATGGTCACAGATAAAAGAAAGTTTAAAATATGGATAAAGAAGTGACAAGAAAAAAAATAGAAAACATATTATACTATTAATATACTATACTATTTTATACTATTTTCTTCGTGTGTATGTGGCAAGGACAATCATTACGTGTTGGTGTTGTGGAGCAGTTGGGACAATACCCTGTCCCCTGTCCCCCGTTCCCCATCCACATCCCCATCTTTGTCTCCGTCTTCGTTTCCGTGCACCTCCTCCTGAACTCAATCCACATACCTCATCCCCCATCCTTATCCGTGGATTCCGGATTGGCAAGTAGCCCCATCGCCACGTGGCCACGTGTTTACATGCGCTCCAGCCATAAAGTAACGCCAACAAACGCACTTTACAGCCTCCAAAAGTCCCGGCTAGATGTGGAATATGGGTGGGCGAAACCCTCGATATGCCAACTCCTCACAAAGGTGCCTCATGCTAAATTTTTAATGAAACGTCGCATAGAAAACGGCAAAAGTTGAATTTATGACTAGCACATGAACGCAGGGTCTCGGGGTAGCAAGGTCGCACAAGGTATATTGAATTTGTTTTTTTAAAAGCCGTTTATAAGGTAATTTTATTGAATTAATTTGATTTTATCAGAATATATTGTATTCAATACTAACAGTCTTTGTATGAGTTGTATTATATATTTGGCTAATATTAAAGTTTAACAGGGTGTCCTATGGTTGGAACCTTTCCTTCTATCCTGTTGGCCGTGAAACCTTTTTTTTCATAAACGTAGCCTCGGGTCACGACTGGGTTTTGATTAGCTGCGATTGGTCGCAGTTGTTGACGGCTGCTTGATGCTAAAATAAAATGTAAGATGGGATTTCCCCCCTTTTCGCCAGGTGAAGAGGGGGTTCAGCAGAATCCTTTTGAAATCCTTTCCTATTAAATGCGACTTTAAGATGATTTGCCCATCTGTTGACATTGAATAAGATTTTCCTTTTCATTATAATAAGAATTTTAATTTAATTGTATAATTTCCTTAACATTTTGCTTAAGATTTGCAGACACATATAACCCATCTAGTATTTGTTCCTTAAGCATTCAATCCAATTTCCTTGGAGATTGACACCAATACAACAATAAATCCATGAATTATAATTAAGTGAAATTACGTACTGATATGTTGGCTGCCGTCGATAATTAATCTTAATTGGTAATGGAACTCAACAATTGACTTACTTTCGCCCACAATCAATTTTAATGGAGAGCTTTAAAGGCGGCCTCATATTTCGATGAGATACGATAAGTGGAAAGTCTTAACTTACTGCCGGTGAAAATCCGTTCGATGACAGTTCGGATCAACAGGAATTGAGCCTGTCATAAGTACTTCTTAAAT